GAGCAGAGGGGTGACCGCGTCCCAAAGGCCCTGTCTCCAAACACCATCGCATTGGTGGCGAGGGCTTCACTGTACGCATTTGGCAGGGACACGAGTCAGTCCGTGGCAGTGATTAAGAACAGCAACAAGTAAAATTGAGCGGGTGGCGTGTGCCAGGCACCGTACTAGGCACTTAGGCAATCCTGAGAGAAAAATCTCCACAGGGGGAAAAAGAAAAAAGGAAAACTGAATTTCCCAGGGTCTCCTTCAGAAAGAGATTCTGCTGTCTTTTACTCAAAGCGTCTTGAAACCCCACCACGTCCTAAAGGGAAAGGGGTGGAGGGCGGGAGAGCTACCTGAGGCTCACCTCCAAGGCTTACCCCTCTCCCAGGCTGCAGCTGCAGCAGAAACCCTGCAAAAATCCCATCTGAAGGGTTCCACTCAATTCCAGTGAATTCAGGAAGTGTCTCCCATGCAGTTATAACATGCCGGGCCCCGTGTGAGTCACCGGGCCGCGACCTGTGCCCTCCCAGGCCAGCTGGAGAGACAGGTGCAGCTGCTACCCACTACTGAGCAGAGCACGTGGGGTGGAGCTTTTGTCTCAAACAAGAGGACGATGGCACGGGCCTGGCCATATAGCACTTCTTGATGCTCCGCAGGCCAGGGAGCAGGAAGGACCTATGAGCTGCTGCTTTTAAGGGTGAAAATGATATGAGGAATACCAGAAAGCATCCAAATATCCTTTCCTACCACCTGCCATCATGCCTGGAATGCCATCTGTCAAATATTTTTTATGAGGCTCTTAAAGTTCTTCATTCCTTGAGAGGCCCGTATTAATATGCTAAAGTTCCCTGGGAAGGAGTAACCAACTGACTCAATGCAACAGGTTTCTTGAACACTTATTCTGTGACAAACACAATGAAAGAGAAACAATCCTGACCTTCAAGTTGCTCACATTTTAAAGAAAGACACAGGCTTATAACTAGATAATTACAACTCAGTGACATGTTGCCATCATAGAAGTATTTGTTTCTCCACTCAATAAATATTTATTGAAACCTGCTTTGTTCCGGACACTGTGCAGGATATCGAGGGTAGGATATGATGGTGGATAAGAGAGATAGCATCACTGACATCATGGAACTTAGGTTCTCAGCATGATAAGGGATAGACTTTTTAAAAACACATGAACGAGTCAACTTGATAATTTCAGACAGTGAGTAGTGCTACGATTTACAAAAATGAGAGTTGGGAACAACTTTGGATAAGGAAGGCCCATCTAAAGAAGTGACGCTATGGCTGAGTTCTAGAAGATGAGAAGGAACTAGCATGCCAAGTCTGGTAGGATGAAACTCCAGGCAGAAGGAACTGCAAAACCAATGGCTTGAAGAGGCGGTGGTCTCCACATGCTTGAGGAACAGAGATGAGGCCAGTGTGGATGCAGGTTAAGCCTGCAAGACAGGCTTGCGAAAGGCAATGTAGTTGACTTGGCCAGTTCACATACGTGATGGTAAGCGGTTCGGGTTTCCCCCTAACTCATGGGAAGCCATTGGAGGACTTTAAGCAGGGACGTGCCCTGACCTCATTTACATTTTTTAAAGATCACTGTGAGAAGGATTAACTCTGGGGGGACAAGCCTGGAATTAGGAAAGTCAGTTACGAGGGTCACGTTTCAGTCCAAATGAGAGATGATGGTGGGTTGAGCCCGGCAGTGGAGAAAAGGGTTGTGATAGATTTGGGATCTATTTTGGTGGAGAACCAGCTGGACTTGTTAATAGATTGGATAAGGGGAGGTGAAAAAAGCCAAACAAGACTGGTACTGTGGAGGCAGTTAGGCGGGTGAGGGCAATATTGAGAGGTGGAAGCTAAATTTCCCAGCCTGGGTATCACCTGCCCATTTATGGTGACGGTCGTCATGGTGTTCAAGGAGGTCATCTAGGGAGAAAGGGCAGAGAGAGAACTGCGTGAGGGTTAGGTGGGAGGCACTCGGTGCCTAGAGGCTGAGCAGGGAAGGAGCTGGCCAAGGACACGGTGGAGAAGCAGCCAAAGGGGAGGAAGAGGAGGTGAGTGCAGACTTGAGGGTGCTGAAGACAGCTCCAAGAGCAAGGGAGTAACCAGGTGAGTAAACTCTAGCTGTGAGGTTGATAAAGACAGAAAACTGACCCGGTGGATTTGCCACTGTGAAGGTCACTGGTGACCTTGACCTCCCAGGCGTCAACGGCGTGGAATGGGGGAAGCCCTGATACAGCCGAGCGGTGGCCGGCCTGGCCTGCCTGGACGCACTGTCTTCGGCTCTCCAGAGAGACCACACCCGAAGCTGTGACTCCCTGACCTGGGTTCACATCCTGGCTCTTCCTCTCACTACCTGTGTGAACTTGGGCAACTTGCCAGTCCTTCCTGAGCATCCGTTGTCTCTTCCACAAAATGAGAATAAGCACATCTTGCAGCAGCGTCGTGGGTGTCGCTGGGTGCCGTGTGAAAGCACCGGGCGCTGGAGAGCAGTGGGTGCGCGGTAAGCGGCAGCTTCACTGCTGCTGTCAGCACACCCGTGTTGCTTATCTGGTGCATTCTGGGTGGGCAAGCTCCCCTCCTCTCTGTGAAACTGCCACCTCTGTTTGACAAGCCCAGCACAGAGTCCCCGTGCCTAGCACACAGTACCTGAGATGGGCTTCCTGCTCAATACAATGTCTGTGGTAATGACACCTGAATGAGAAATATTTATGGAGTGTCAACAGGAACTCTCAGAGAATTCAAGCACAGGGGAAACAATCAGTACCTTCCTTCTCTCTCTATAAAGACACTCAAGGCCCACATGGTTACAGAACTATTAGAAAGCCAAAGATAGCTCCTTCTTTCCACTTTTAGAGAGCAGGATGTCCTTTCTTACAACTTACCCACGAATCACTTATTGGGTATTTTCCATTGTATGTACTACTACTCTCTAATGTAGTAGTCACTCACGAAAATGTCACTCAAGGAAAATCAGACTTAATACAATGATTCAAATCTTTATTGAGTATGCTTCACAAATTTTGAGTTGAGAACTACTGCCTTAAGGTCATGGAAAACCAGTGCAAGTGGTTCTAGAAGGAATGGGATTCATGCAACTAGTGCCTAGACGTATACTAGGTGCTCAATAAATGAGCATTGAATGAATGAATGAATGAATAAGTCTCCTGGGGTATATTGGTATATTCCTTTGGGTATCACCCAGAAGAGCTCTGGGGCTCGTGGTGATGGCTCATGCCTGTAATCCTAGCACTCTGGGAGGCCAAGGCTGGAGGATCGCTTGAGCTCAGGAGTTCAAGACCAGCCTGAGCAAGAGTGAGACCCTATCTCTACTAAAAATAGAAAAATTGGCCAGGCATGGTAGCACATGCCTGCAGTCCCAGCTACTCAGGAAGCTGAGGCAAGAGGATCCCTTGAACTTAGGAATTGGAGGTTGCAGGGAGCTATGATGACACCACTGCACTCTAACCATGGCAACAAAGTGAAACTCTATCTCAAAAAAAGAAAGAAATTAAACAGAAGAGCTCTGGGCTGCTAATTGAGGTAACAATAACACCACACCCATTTATACAGTGCTCTGTACAAGTTGTATGATCCTGGGCCAGTAGCTCAAACTCTGAGTCTCAGGTTCCTCAGTTCTTAAATGAGGATAATAAACACTGTTTTGCAAGGTCATTGGGAGGATTACATGAGATCACTGTAAAACAGTCAGCATTAGGGGCCTAGGCACTCACTCCTTCGGTGCAATTGACAAGGGAATCTTGGCAGAATGCCCTCCAGTTCCACGCGTAAGCTCTCCCTGAAAAAATAGACTTGTGTAGTCTGGGTACATACTGCTTTTGTTACAGACATGTGGCATGCACTCTGCAGGGAGTGACACATCGGCTACCCAACTCACCCCTCACGAGCAACTGCGTTAGTTAAGAGGCCCATAGAATTGCAACTGGCCAAGCAAAGACTCCTCAGCTGTTAAGTGGCTCCCTGAACTCAAACAACTAAGTCAGCACCTGGGCTGGCCAGCCCGCTGGCCTCGCCATCTCCGTCACACTCAGGCTGGTTTGGACTGTGGGCTTCAGGGAAATGCTTCCTGTATTCTGTGTTCTGTAGTTTTGTATAGACATACATCATCAGATCTGGAAATGTCTTCTGAAAATACCGGGAAGGATCTCCCAATATGGACTTTATCCTGAAACAAAACACAGTTTGGCATGCTAGTCTCAAATTTTTCTTTCCCCTTTCACAGCGTATGGCTCCAAAGATCTCTTTGCTCTCTTGGTTTCTATAGCAGAATGAATAAGGACTTTGGAATCTGACATAGCAAGACTTATCTCCTGACTCAGTTCTTAAGCTAATATAATTGTGCAAGCTTTGGCCATTTTATCTTTCTGAACTTCAGTTTTTCCATTCACCAAATGGAAATAGTACAATGCCATAATTCCCTATGTACAATTCCAAAATCCAGAAGAACCCCAAATTGCAAGGGTTTTTTTGTGAGTTTGCCCCTAGCATTTTTGGCAGCAAAAGCTGATTTAACTAACATGAGGCATTTTGAGACTTTTATAACTCAACATTCACTTTCCCCGGCCATCAGGTCTTCTGTGTTACTTTACCCAAGAACTCACTAGCTTCAGGTCAATTCGTTTTACCTTTTTTCTAGCAAAAGCTAAAAACGAAGATGAGAGCCTGCTAGACATGTTCATCATTAATTTTAAGGCTATAATGATAGCCCTTTTCCAAACATAGGGGAGGAATTAATTTTCTTTCATCAAAATAAATTTTCTTCTTTCCATAGCAGATATGATTTTAGAATTAGATTTTTTAATCATTCTCATTTCACATATGATTTATAGGAACGAAAACAATACTTACCCTTTATTCGTGTCTTCATCAATGTGTTCTCCTATATTTCTAATGAACTTTAGCAGATCACCCACAGTGTCCTGGTAGGGAAGTCTTCTTTTTCTTGTATAGAAATAATTCATTTTTTTCATAACACATTCATCAATCTGAAAAACAAAACGTGACACAAAAATGTGGTGGCAATACAGAATAAATACTGATGGACTATGAATACCAAAAGGCAAAGTATAAAGTTGAATGAATATATGTTGCAATCACCACTAATTACTAAAATAAATTAGTAGAGAGCAAAGAATGAAATAAATATTGTATAGCAAAATGCTAACTATAATTGTGTCTGGGAGTGGAAGTGTTAGTAACTGTAAATTTTTGTCTTTATTTTTCAACTAAATTATTTTCATAAAAATTTGAATATATTAAAACCTGGTTTAAAAACATCTTCGACTACTCTCCTAGAAAATTTGTTCATTGTACTATACAGTATTTTTATCCTTGTGGCCCACCTTTGAAATTCATACTTGATCGCATAATCCTCCTTAAAGAGGGTTGTTCAGACTGACCCCAGGCCTGGCAGCCGTTGCCAAAGTGAGCATGCTTGTTTTTCGTCTGTTTGGTTTTGTTTTCATAAAGTCTGTTTCCAAGAGGCCCCTTGCCTCTAGGTGCCCCAGGGAACTTCTCTCACGTGGCCTTCCTCTTTCTCTGTGCTTGTCATCCTTGTAGATGACTCCCATATTTAGAAAGAGTTTGGGCTAAGAGAACAAGATGTAACAACCATGGAGCCAGAGGGTCACTTAGGAAGAGTAACCCGTGACAGACCGACACTAGTGATGGTGCTGTCGCCACTGGCCGAATCACCCAGCGCGGATGTGCTCAGCATGGGGCGGCCAAGAACAAATGCGGCTGTGTACGCCGGACAACTGGGGCTCTAGACATGTGCTGACAAAACTACGTGAACTGAAAATGAGCAGGTCGCTAAAATCAACCAGAAAACAAAGTCTGAAATGGGAACCAAATGGTAAAACTTGAAGTCAATCAAAATTCAATATAAGTCAATAAAATTTAGGGGAAAGACCCAATGAATTGGGAAACAAACAAAAACAGATTTTCCTTCCCAGCTCTGCCCATCTCTGGCCATCCAGCCACGGGTAATTCGGGTCCCATCTCCGAGTCTCAGTTGCCTCCGCAATTAAATGAGCTGGTGGGCTGGACACCATCCTATTAACAGCTTTGTGCAGCGGGGCAGCTTAAGCACACGGCATCTGCAGCCATTCTTCCCAGCTTCAAATCCTGTCGCACCCTCACTGGCTCTCTGTGATTGAAAGAATTGTCTGTGCTTCAGCTTGCCCATCTGCAAAACATAGATTACTGTCTCAGAGGATGTGACAAGGACTGAATGTGGCAACTCACATAAAGTCCTAAGGACTGCGGCTGCCATATAGTCAAGCACTACGTGACAGTTAGCTGTCATTGTCATCTGCTCTGGTTTCAAATCCATTGCTACAAGTCTCAGTTTCAGCTGAAGTTTTAGAGACATTCATTTAGCAAAGGGTCACGACCACCTACTCTAGGTCAGGGACACAGTAACGGGCAAAAGGACGGGCAGTCTCTGCCCTCATGGAACTTACAAGCTAGCGAGGAAAACGAACCTTAACCAGCAACTATGAGAGTGCTGTGTGGTCGAGAGACAAATGAGGGGAGGAAAGCAACGCGAGAAGTGGAAACAAAGAGGCATGAGAGAAGCCGAGGCCCAGGTCAGGCCTAGGATAGAGAAGCTGTTGGTTTCAGTCAAAGACCGGAAGGCTGTGGATTCTCCCACAGTCCTTTGCACGTGTCCCTGGGGGCCAACACGCATCACACAGCATTGTTTCTGCGGGTTTCCCTGCCCCACAGGGACTGTGCTGTATTCTGCTTTGGATGCTCAGGGCCTCACCTGGGCCTAGCATCTCACTGGCATTTGATGGATGTTTGTTAATTAACAACAGTGAAAGCTCTGATAATACCAATTGAGATTGAGATGGTGATTAATTTTGTAGAGTTTCACCGTATATAGTTCAAGTTAGGTGGAACCTCTCTTGAAGAGGGGGAATGTGAAAGATCATCTTTTCTTTGCAGAAGGTAGAATGTAGGTCTGCACGTGGATCCTAGGAGCTGGGCTGAATCACAGTCTATCAGGGGCTGCTCTGCGGTACACAGAGCAAATGGGCATTTACTCAGGTCTCAGGGACGGAGGGAGGACCTGGCCCCCTAGAAGAGCAGTAGAGACCTGTAAGAGCCAAGGGAGCCTGGGTCGGGGAGTGGGAGGAAGAAAGATCACCTTTTTTAGCCCCTGGTCAGCCAAAGGTATAAAATAAGTTAGAAAAACTAACACAAAACATTACTCAGATTCTCATTCCTGGAAAAACCCCTTGGCTATAGGAACTCTTCATACCTTTTCAGTCCACCTAGCAAAACTTTTGGAATGTTCAGATGGTCCAAGTTCCAGGAGTTGGAGGATCTCACTTTCAGAAACTCGCATTTTGATGTCGGATTCGTTTCCCACATTCCGAAGTGTCCTATAGCGGCTGAGGGCGACAGAATTATCATGATCATTCCATCTTTCCGGCTCTTTCCAGAAACAGAAAACTATTAGATTTTGATTTTTAATACAAGTAGTCAAACCATGTCTTCAAAAATTCTGCATGACGGGAGAAGTAGGCATGTCTTCCCCCTCTCCCCAACAGTCTTCAGAAGAGGAAACCGGAATCCAGAGAGGTTAGGTCATCTCTCCCAGGACACACAGCCAGTAAATGACAAGCGGAGAGGGAAGGCTGGGTCTGCCCATTCCCAGCCCTGACCCCTGCCCATATCCACCTCCTGCGATATCCACTCACGTTTTGCTTACCTCTCCCAAGTCCAAAAGAAGGGGTGACCCAGCAAGTCACTCAGACAGTCCCTCCTGTTTTCCCCAGGGTGGAACAGAAGACGAATGAGGTCCTTAGTTTCCTCATCCGGAGAAAGTAGAACCACCTCTTCATTACTTTGAGCCTTCAGCTTCTCAAAAGAGATGTCTTCCTTCTTTACCACATACAGGACCAGCCGTCCAAGGGCCTGGAATCCAAAAGCCACAGATGGAACCAAAGGTGCTTGTGAATTATTTCTCTATTCAGGTAACCCTGGAAGGTGCGGTGCAGGATATAAGCAAATGGAAGGCAGGAAGAATCTTAGGGAGTGAGTCTGCAGGCTTATTAGGAAGCAAAGACACAAATTTCTGCAGAGAGCTAGCTCTTCAAGGTCCACACAGGTTAGGTTTACAAAGAGCAAGAGCTAATTCTGGGACAGAGTTGTCAGGGCAGACTGCTCGGAGGAAAAGAGATTTGAGCTGGGCCTCAAATGTATGTATAGACTATAGATAAATTGGGAAAAGAGAGAATGTTTTAAACAAGGGGAATACCAGGAGCCTGTCTGGGAACTGGGTGTTTGAGTCTGGGGCTACATCAGGCAGCAGATAAAAGAGCCAGTCCAGGACTGGCTGGGTCACCGGAGGGTCACAGTGACAGCCCCAGGAGCTGGGACAAGGCAAGAAGGAATGGCGGGGAAGGAGGCCCTCCTAGGAACTCTCTACACTAGCCAGAATCAGGGAAGAGCCAAAATGGGGAGCCACCAACCCAAGAAGCCAGACACGTGGATGGAGAGCTCTTGCCCATGGGTTCAAAGTTCAGCACACTGGGGAACTCTCCAAGACAGAACTGCCCTGGCAGGTTCAGAGTCAGCCTGGGAGTTCTGGTCTGCAGAGCCCAGTCTTGGTGTCAGGAGCAACAGCTGTTCCAGGGTGTGAACCATTCTGGCCATGCTTAGGCTCTTTCCAGACGGGGATTGGCCTTATCCCAGGTGTTCTCAGAGGCCCTTAGTAACCGGCCTTCTTCAGAGCTTAGCCCACAAGCTTGAATGGGGTGGAAAAAGAAATCTCATTTGTTAATATTTTGTCCAGAGGCAGAAAAATAACTCCTGGGCATATTTTGAAAATCCCTCCTGGAAGTATTTGGAGAAGAGCTATGGCGTGCTCAATTCATTTACTTATGTAGCTGGCAGAGGAAGACAGAGATGCAAAGAGATCCAGAAAGGGGCCACAGGGACAGCCAGCTCGACACTGGCCCAGGCTGTCACACCTTCTCCTCTTCATCTTCAAAGCTCTGCTGTGGGAGAGGCCCAAGGAAATGCTATGGTCTACAGGGAAGTGAGGACAGTGAGCAAGACCGGGGGAAAGTCTCGAAAGTTCCTTTATTCCTGGTTAAAATAGGAACGTCCTCCAATTGGCCATAGGAAATAAGGCAATGAACGAATAAAGAAGCAGAAAGAAGAGAAAGCAGGCTAGGTTGTAGCAATTACCTCCAGATCTCTCTTGATTTCCTGGGGATCTCCAGCCCACTTGATGCTCTTATCAAAATCTGCCAGGCGAACAGCATTCTTAGAATCTAAGGGGCAGTTTGCAGAGGCGTGTTGAAAATATTCATTCTCCACCATGTGAGAGCCAATTGATTTAAATAAACATGTAGCAGCCTATACAATCCATCACCTTACGTCTGTATTGCTATTTATTCCTCAAAACACTTTGTCGTGTGTACTGTTTCATTCCATCTAGTAGGTCTCTGCCAAGAGCAGGACTTTTTATTTTATTTTTTCCAGGCCAAGGGGTAGGAAGTTCTGGGTTATCAGGGTGAGTCTGATAAGTACTCTGATAACGCAATTATCAGAGTACTCTGATAAGTACTCTAGCACTCTGGGAGGCCGAGGTGGGCGGATTGCTCGAGGTCAGGAGTTCGAAACCAATTTGAGCAAGAGCGAGACCCTGTCTCTGCTATAAATAGAAATTAATTGGCCAACTAATATATATAGAAAAAAATTAGCCAGGCATGGTGGCGCATGCCTGTAGTCCCAGTACTCTTATAACACAATGACAAGTACCCTTACATGAAGAAGACAGAAGGAGTTTTGATGACAGAAGAGAAGAAGGCAATGTGAACATGGAGGCAGAAATTGATGTGGCCATAAGCTGGTCATCAGAAGCTGGAAGAGGCTAGGAAGAGACTCTCCCCTGCACCTCCACCTCCTACACCTGATTTGGGGCCAGTGGAACTGATTTTGCAATTCTGCCTCCTGTGAGAGAATAAATTTCTGTTGCTTTAAGCTACCATGGCTGTGGCAACTTGTTTCAGCAGCCATAGGAAACTAGCACATTCAGTTAGTTGTGTTTCCCTGGGTGTAACTTCTTCTGCTCAATGATGAATCTCTTTCATGCTATTGGCACTCCCTACATATCTTAAATGATTTTTTCCTCTAAGCCCAACTTTGCAGCTGAGAATCCCTGGTGCCGTGTGAGTTTCTTCTGCTGATGCCAACAGGCAGGAGGGATGGAACTGGTCGTCAGAGCTTCTGCTCTTTTCTTGTCCCATCACTTTAAGGGTTTGATGCAAGGCACTGAGTTCTGCAGCATGTATGAGGCTCACCGCATTGAGATAGAAGTATAAGCAATTATTTATTGTTCAAACTTTAGAATGGGATAACGATGCCAGGAAGTCCAAAGAACAGATGATACACAAGTCATTTTTTTCTTTAGAACGTGTTATATGATACTTGAATCAAGATCAGCAGAACTGGGGAGATCTCACCCTTGGCTGAATCTTGAATACTCTGCTTCACGTTATGGAACGATACATACCTTCTGGCCCTGGTCAATCTCCCCAGCAAAACTGCTAAATACCAGGAAAGAATGTCACACCTGTCCTCAAACTAAAGTCCAGATCCCAGTTGTATTCATATATATATATATATATATATATATATATATATGCCTACTTCTCTCTTCCAAGACCTTAAATACTGTTCTCTCTCTATATATACCTGCACCTGCATTTTTGCCCTGTTCCCTTATACCGAGCTTAAATCTCAGTGCATGTCTATGGATCAGGTATCTACTCTGCTTAGACCTTTAGACAAGCACCTGGCCTTTCCTGAACACCTATGATGTACCAGGTGACTTGTCTACTTAATATACTGCATTTAGACCTCATATAAAACCTTATGAAGGAGGCATTATCAGCCTCAAATGAGGAAACTGAGGCTCACAGAATCAAGTGACTTGTGTGAGGTTACAAAGCTATTCTATTGTACGAAATGGTGGGGACTAGGCTTCGAGCCACCCTAACTGTGGCTGGAGCCCTGGCTCGTTCTACTGTGCCATATTGCTTCCTGGGACTCTGCACTCAGCTCTGCTTGTTTCCTGTAATGCTGTTTTCATTTATTTTGTTTTTGGCTTGGACCAGTGGATTCTGACATGTTCTGCCTTGGAGTCTGTGTTTTCACTGTGTCACATCTTGTCCTGACATCCTCAATTCTGCCCTCAGTTTTGCCATTAAGTTTCACAGTTACTGCCACCTTGGCTGAAGGAGCTCACCTGTAGGATTCTCTGGCTTGCAGATCTCTTTGGGACTTCAAATTTCTGGAGCTGGTTTCATCCAAGACATACCTGCATATTTTTATTTTGCTAAGGCCATATGAGGTTACCCTGGCATTCTGCGGGCGTGCACCAGCCTCCGTGTGGAGTAAGGGAACTCAGTTATAATTGGCAGCAGGAGAGACTGCACTGTAACTGTGAATTCAGTGTAACAATCCTCAAATTGAATACTCCGCATTTACTCTAGACCTTTCCTTTATGCAATGGAAAACTTTTCCTTTTGTAAACAAAGACCTTACAATTTCTAAGGGAGAATTGCGGGTTGGGAACTCACCTATTAAGATGTTCCGTGGCTGCAGATCCTGGTGAGTGTACCCACACGACAAGTGTAGTTCTCGAACAGCCTGGAATATCGATAGGAGGACGTTTCGGGCAAACTTGTCTTCCTCATTTTCCACAGTTTCCCCTCTGTGCGCAGCCAAGCGCGCTTCCAGAGTCTCTTCACAGAGGGTGACGCACACGTACAAGCAGCCCCTGCGGCTCTCACTGCCATAGAATGTCACCAAGTTACTGTTCTCTCGGCTGCTTTGCAGACAGGAGACTTCTTGCTGTGCACGCACGCTGCCGTCACAGAACGTCTTCACAGCTACCTCTTGCTCCTCGTAGATCCCCAGGTAGACGCCCCCTTCAGAAGTGTCAGCGACTTTATAACTTTCGTCCATGAAGATCTTGAGTTTGCCGATCATAGGGCGGTACATTCGGTGGAGCGTTTTCAGGGCTGCCCCCCAGCGTGAGCTCTGAGGCTTCCAGTCCGCAGCAGGAGGGCGAAAACACTCCGTAGCTCCGTGACGGACGAGAAGCTTCACGAGGCGAGTGTCGTAATTCCGCTTGGCTATGGCGACCAGGTCCCCACAGCCTGTGCTGGCTCCCCGGGCACACAGCAGCCCGGCGATGTCGCTCAGCCTGAGCTCCACGGCAATCAGCAGCGCTGTCTTGCCCTCGCTGTCTGTGTCGTCGATCTCTATGTGCTCTCGCTCCAGAAGCATCTGCACCACAGCCACGCGCCTCTTTTCCACGGCCAGGATCAGGGGCGTCTTCCCCCTTTCTCCCCTGGCGTTGACATCGGCCCCACGGTCCAGCAGGAGGCGCGCAATGGCCTCCACGTTGCCATCGCGGGAGCTCAGGAGGGCGTGGATCAAGGCATTTCTGCCCATGTTGTCGCGGGCGTGGACATCTGCCCCCATCTCATCCAGGAGAACCCTCACGACCTCCAGGCGGCCTTCCTCGGCAGCGTCCATGAGCGCCGTGGCGCCTCCTTTCCTGAGCCGCTCTTGGCCCACCTTGGGCTTCCTGCTCGCGTTCACGCCCGCGCCGCGCCCGTGCAGGAATCTCAAGGCTTCCACCCACCCGTACTGGGCGGCTTCCATGAAGGCCGTGAAGCCGTTACAATCACACTCGTTGACGTCTGCTCCCTTGGAGAGGAAAAGCTCGAGCAGCGGCACGTTTCCCACGATCGCGGCGACGATGAAGGGAGTGGCCCCGTTCCACTTCCTCAGGCAAGGGTCCGCACCGTGGCGGAGCAGAAGGCCCACGATGTCCCCCCTGCAGGCTTGCACTGCGTTGTGCAGAGCCGTCCAGCCCCCTGACTCCTCCTGGAAATTGGCATCGGCTCCTCTTTCCAGCAGTTGCTGGACCATCTGGACATCTTCCTCTTCAACAGCTTTGATCAACAAGCGGTTGTCTTCCATGGTGGCCGTCCTCCTGCGGGAGGAGGCAGGTCCCTCCCTGGCACTGTCACCACCCTTGGCCTCCATGATGGTAAATGCCACTGGCTGCAACTTTCTGCCTTTTCTTTGAGAAAATGAAAACTATCTCCTTGGGATCCAATCAGTTATCTGACTGTGGATCAGCAGCGTGAGGAGGAACCGTGTTCTGTCTTCCGGCATTCCGCCTGGAGACAGACAGAGAGGTGCTTTGTAACAGGGATAAAAACACTTGAATCAGAGAAATTAATTTTACTGGCAACTTTTTCTGAATATATCTACTTATTTATTACAGAACTTTAAAATTATAGAATATTGTGACTATACGTCAATTCAAAATAAGAAAATTATTACTCTATAAGCCCCACTGCCCAGAAATAGCCACTGTTAATATTTGAGCATATTTCTATCATTTTTTTAAACAGTTGGGCTCATACTGTACAACTTTGTATCCTGCTTTTTTCATTTAATGTCATACTGTAAATGATCTCCTATGTTATTACGAAGATTTTTAAAATTTTTAATGGCTGTGCAATATGCCATGATATAGTTGTTTCATTTCCCTATTACTATTACATTTAAAAATAAGCTTTAAACAAGATTTTTTAATTACAAATTTTTAAACAATTCTAAATGATGTTGCAGCTTGTTTTATTTATTTATTTTTTTTTATTTCAGCATATTACAGGAGTACAAGTGTTTAGGTTACATATATTGCCTTTGCCCCATCCAAGTCAGAGCTTCAAACATGTCCATCTCCCAGACGGTGCACGCCACATCCACTAGATGTAAATATAACCATCCCCTCCTCCCTCTCCCCACCTGCCTGACACTTGATGAATGTTACTATTATATGTGCACTGAAGTGTTGGTCAGTTAAGTCAGTTAATACCAATTTGATGGTGAGTACACATGGCGCTTATTTTTCCATTCTTATGATACTTCACTTAGTAGAATGGGCTCCAGCTGTATCCAGGATAATACAAGAGGTTCTAGATCACCATTGTTTTTTGTGGCTGAGTAGAACTCTATAGTATACATATACCACATTTTATTAATCCACTCACGTAATGATGGGCACTTGGGTTGTTTCCATATCTTTGCAATTGTTGCAGCTTATTTCAGCTTGTTTTTCTATGATTGATCTTATGATAGATTTCTTATGATGGACCTCAAAGAACTGAATGACTGGTCAAGAATATGATTGTATTTAGGATTTTCAATCTATGTTCACAAATTTCTTTCAATGTCATATAAACATACTCTTACCAGAGATAGGTATCCCCTGGGGGAGAGGGGAATCCTCATTTAATAGGAAAAATGTATTTCATGGATTTTGTTCATTTGCATTTCCATATCACCAGGAAGGTTGATCACTGTGTTCAGTGACTCTGCACATTCTCTTTGTACAACTGTGTGTCCCTATTCAAATACAGATGATCCCCAACTTACCATGGTTCCACTTACATTTTTTTGACTTTATTATGGTACGAAAGCAATACACATTCAGTAGAAACCATACTTTGAGTAACTAAGTCACCATTCTGTTTTTCACTTTCAGTATAATATTCAGTAAATTACATGGGTTATTCAACAATTTATTATAAAATAGGCTTTGTGTTAGATGATTTTGCCCAATTGTAGGCTAATGTAAGTGTTCTGAGAACATTCAGGTTAAGCTAGGCTAAGCTATGACGTTCAGTAGGTTAGTATATTAAATGCATTTTCATTTTCCTATGGGTTTATCAGGATATAACTCCATTGTGAGTCAAGGAGTGGAAAGAACTTGGACTGTGACTTCAACAAGATATAAGTTTGAGCCCCTGGCTGTGGCCAACAGAAAAGAAGCCACACCCTGCAAAATAATTTAAAGAGGTTTATTCTGAGCCAGATTTGAGGATTATGACCCAGAGCCACACCCAAGAAGCCTTGAACAAGTGGACTTCCTGTAATTGGGTTACAGTTTGGTTTTATACATTTTAGGGAGACAGGAATTATAGGTAAAGTCATGAATCAATACATGGAAAGCATGCATTGGTTTGTCCCGAAAACGTGGGACATCTCAAGTCATTACAAGTCATAGGTGGGTTTAAGGATTCTTTAGTTGACAATTGGCTGCAAGAGTTAGGCTATGTCTAAAAGACCAGGAGTCAGCAGAAAGGAGTTAAGATAAGGATCATCTATCTTTCATGCAATGCTAGAATCAGGTTGGGAAGTAAACCACATTATATTGGGTTAACAAAACCTATTTAGTGAGATCTTATCATTTGTAGGCATGACTCACCAGTCCCCCATTAGAAAGGAATTTGGGGGCAACAGAAAAGATCAGAGTTCGGTCCTCACTGTGTAACTTCATATTGTTGCTTCCTGATGTATAATTTTAGATTGTTGAGTCTCAAAATTTTCTGCTTCCTCGAATGTGGACCACAATGAATATGGTCATGTGTGTAAAGTGCATTAAATCACAATGTGCTGTGAATATTAGGCCCTCAATGAATGGTAGGGCTAATTATGTCCCATTATGAAAAATATTTTTAACAAATTTTATTCTCCCCACTCATATGCCTATAGTTACTACACAAATAGGGAAGCTGGAGGTATACATTTAGTCCAGCTGTCCTCAATCACATCTGAGAATTATAGATCCAATCCAATCACCAGACAGCCCCAAACTGTTACCTGAACATGTAAATAACTGCATCTACTACACAATTCACAAAGCAACCCTCTTCCAGCAATCTCACCACTTCGACATTTTCAAAGCCTCAGGGGTTCATTGATTAGACCCTCCGAGGTCTAACCACCTGTGCAACACAAACACGATCACCAGGCATTGAAATCTTGGAACCAATTCCCTGTATAGACAGTCCCAGTTAGGAGCGGATGTGACGAGCTGGCATAAAGGAGCAGAGAAGGAAAGAAAGTCAAGGAAACTGAGCAAAACATCAGAGTGGAGAATCTAGACACCCCAGCGAAAGCACTGCATCAGACAAGTCCTGCTTTTAGTTTCGCTTTCTCCTGTGGCCAGAGTTGCCTTGGAAACAGAGGGACTGAATAAATAAAAGTTGGACTGTGACAGATCCTGGGAGGACAGGGCTCCCGGAAGGGCCCGCAGGGCAGCCCGTGCTCCGGGCTCGGCTTCCACTCTGCCAGTCCTCCGCCCCCAGCATGCCCGGGTCCACAGTCCAGAAATTCTTCCAGAACGACTTCCCAAGTTTTTCCAGTTCTCCTTCTGCCCATCTTACCTTCTCAACTCAGCCCCCGCCTGTGTTCTTCCTTTGTCTGCGGGAGACTCGGGAAGGCTGTTCCCAGCAGGGGACATGTCCTTGCTCTGCCTCTGCCCTGCAGGGCGGGCTGCGCCGGGAGGAGGGGGAGAAGGAGGAAGAGGAAGTGAGGAAGGCGAGCGGAGGGCAGGTGGCCACACACCCACAGCCTGACGGCCGTTACCAACATGGGCAGAAGCAGGCACGCCCCCGGGGAGAGCGACTGTCTCAACGCCAGTGTCGAATCTGACCACGGGGATCCTCTCTGCCTTTTTGCAGTCACTCTTCCGTACTTCCTGTGTCATGCCAAATCCCCTGTCTTCTTAGGAGACAGGAAGGGAAAGTAAACACTTATTGGGCACCTGCTTTGTGCCAGACACTATGCTTTACACGCTGCACGGTCCCAGTTAAAAGTTATGAGACAATTATGAGAATTAGCTCGCACAAGCTAAGTGCGCTCAGAGCCCTGCCAGCCATGTGAGCTGGCTGGACTCGCTGCCCCCAGGCGATGTGGCCTGGGCAGAACGGGAGGGACTGGCAGACTGGAGTCCCCACTCCCACCCCTCCTGCAGCCAGCACTGCGACCGTGTAGCTGTCTAGCTGCGTGACCTCAGGGAGGTGGTTTAACCGTGTTGAGCCTCGTTCTCTCCTGGAACTTGGCTGTGAAGCTCCGTTCTGCTGTAGAAGCTCTGCTCTTGACCATCTTCCCAGCACCGAGCTGTGCAGTTGTGCCCGGCACTGCCGGGTACTGTGTGCGGCACGCCGCAGGGAGGGTGTTCACGCCGCAGGGAGGGTGTTCCCATCCCCAAGGAGTGTCCAGTCTTGCCAGGGAGACAAAGCTCTGAGCGAGCTGTGACCAGCGAGTGGTGCACGGGCACACGGCGGTCACCTGCACCATGTCATCCAGACCCGGGGCCTCTACCACCCCTTCCATCGTGCTGACCCCCAGGCCTCCCCTCTCGCCTCTCTGTTGAGTTCAGACCCACACAACTTGAACATGCCCCAAACAGAAACCTCGTCTCTCCCTAAATCTGCCCCTCCTCCCATCTTCTCCATCTCCACGAATGACACTGCCACCTGGAGGCCTCCCCTCATCCTCGTCCCCACCCCAAGCCCCCTGCTTTCATCTGCAAAGGGATGACTGCTCTAGACCTGTGTATTTTGGGAAACTGATGCTTTGCTTCCTGGCCCTCATCTACTGTTCCATCCTGCATCATTGATTCACCATGGTTTTCAGGACAAAGTTCAAAATCCTTAACCAATGATTCATTCAATTAATATTTACGGAGCACCCACTGTGTTACCAGTGACTGTTCTAAAAGCTTGGGATACGGTGATTTACCACCCAAGTTCTTCGTGGAGTTCGTGGAGCTTGCATCTCAGTAGGCGGAAATAGATCATAAACAACGGAAAACCCACCATATGACTTCAGGTGATGGTAGAGTCCCCGACTGTCCCTCCCCTGCATGGACATCGCCACTGCCACCCTCTGGTTCCCCGTCACCCCACACTGCCTCCCACCTCTACGTCTTGGCCTGTGCTACTTCGCCACCTGAACTAATAATAATGGCAAGAACGATGATGCTGTGTGTCGATGCTGTTAAAAATAGCAAACATTTATATAGCTCTTTTCCTGGCTCCAGGATCTGTTCTGAGCAGTTTAGATATGTTAAATCATATATTCTAGTCCTCGTGAGGTAGGTACTGTTTTTTTCCCCCTTTTTTCGGTTGGGGAGGTTGGGGTTTAAGCGCTTTAGTTACTTGGTTTTTTCTTGGGGTTTTGGGTTTTTTCCTTGACCACCCCGGGGAAGGTTGCTTGCTTTCTTTTTGGTGGAGGCCGGCGGTTGGGCCCGTTTATTAATTCTTTTATTTTTTTTTTTGTTGAAAATTTTCCGGGGGTTATTAAATTGGATTAGGGCGGTTTGAAGTTGTTGGGTTGGGGCTTTTGGGGGGGGGGGCTTCTTTCGGAGGTTGCCTTTTGGGCACGGTTTTGGGGAGGTTGCGGAGGGAGCTTTGCAAATGTCTGCATCTAATGCACAGTCATCAGAGGGAACAGCAAGTGCAAAGGCCCTGAGGCGGGAGCATGCCTGGCGTGATCCAGGAGCAGAAGGGAGGCCAGTGAGGCTGGAGCAGAGTGGGTGAGGGGAGATGGCAAGAGGAAGTCCAGGTCACGTAGGGCCTTAGGACCCACGGTAAGGGCTCTGGCTTCTACGCTGAACAAGATGGCAGCCATTGGAGAGTGGGAGCAGAGGAGTAACGTGATCTGAATTATTTTGGGGAAGGCATCATTATCAGTGCTGCCCTAAAAAGAACCTGGAGTTTGGAAGCAAAGGCAGAAGTTGGGCAGGAAGTTAGGGAGCTAATGGATAACCCCGCTGAGAGCCAACGGTGGCCCAGAGCGGGGCAGTCATGTAGAAGTAGCAGTGGCTGTTAGTTTGTCCTGAACAGGTGATTTGGTAAAGACTTCTGGGCAGGAGCACACCTGTAGCGAAACAAAGTTAGGTGCACTAACCTACCCCAGGGAGGGAGAACCCACCACAGGAACTGCAAAGTATCTTATAAGAGGAAGTCAGGGGGCTTGGTATACTTGACAATAACAAGGCGTAATCCTGTTATATCAAGATTAATAATCTTGGTGTATAATCTTGTACCGAGTCAGGGTTTGGGGTTCGTTTTAGGTGATTTTGGGGAGGGTATGAGGAAATAGAGGTTCGTTCTCAATTGGGTGCTGTCGAGAAGCAGAGCAATCTGATGATCTAGGGATCGGGAGGAGCGGAGTGGAGCTAGAGCTGTCACTGGGAAAGAAACAGCCATCCCTCCTGTCAGCCGAGAGAGGGAGGAGTTTGCATTTGTGTCTTTGCCTCATGTTCAGGCCTCATCAAGAAGTGGCCTCATTTTTGTCTCGTTCCACCATGGTCGCAGGCTGGCCTCGTCTAATTATTGTTGACAGTCTGTGGAGTTGCTTCTGCTCAGTAGGAGCGTGACAGACTAGCTGCCAGGGCTATTTTCCTAAATTTTTATTTGTTTGTTTTCTCTCCATTACATACTTAGGGTTAAGACATAGTTCCAAAGCAGATGATGGTTTTGTACATGGGAACAAGCTCCATTTGAACAAAATCCAACTGGTCTGAATTAATCATTTTAGAAAATTAAATATCAGTTCCCTCACTCACCCTGAGACTGCCTTCCTGCGGGAGAGTTTTAAATGACTCCAGGCTGGGTTCCCTCGGCAGATCTTTCTGACGGATTCTTCAGAGGCAGGCTGGCACTGGTTCATTACATTTTTATGGCTCTCAAAACCCACTCCCAAAAAGGATTTGAGGCGACTTATAATAATAGTCACAGATGTAATAAAACTCCAAATGATCAACACAAGAATCAGAGATGCAACAAATAACAGAGGTGGATGACTATCACGTTATTAAACAGGGAACTTAACTCTGGGTGAAGGTCGCGGCAAAAAGGGTAAAAACTAACCCCCCACAAAGGAAACACAGCAATTTATTAGTTCAAACCCTTGTTTGCGGTGGCCAGTTACAGTTGTCGTATCACACAAGCAAGCACAAGAGGAGGGGCACCTGGCACCAGTCCCCCTCCTAGGGACATGTATATGTGGAAGGGGTCAGTTTGAGGAACAAGCACAACACAGGAACCGCAGTCACCCCCAGACCATCTTGGATCAGGAGAATCAGGAGGGGTTGGCCCAAGAGACAGGTGGACTGTGACTACTGTCCAGGCAGGAGGAGAGATCAATCTGCCCGAAAAGACACCCAGATCACCAGCTGGGTCCAGAGGTCCACACTCTGAAGAAGGAATCACCAAGCTTCCCAGGAGGAGGCGGAAATCCTAGGCTGGGAACATGGAGAGAGAAACCAAGGGCAAGGCAAAATGTAAGGACATCTCCCGCCTTCACTCTGGCTCCATCCTTCCCCCACCCAAGATGTTAGAATTAAGCAATGTCCTCAACCTTTCCTTCCTTTGACCAGAAAGACTCTAAGACTGCAGGGATTTACTCTAAGCTCAGGAATAAATTGCAATTTTACTTACAAAAGCCCTTCTTGGATCTTGGTGAGAAGTCATGGGGTCACATTGAATCAAGCATAGGATTGATGTTCTCACATCAGTAATGTGAGAGTGGTTTGGGATGTTTTGCTATGCAGCAATAGCTGATTGACACAGCTACTTGCTAGCTCTTTGGGCAATTTACCTAAACTTTCTGGGCCTTGATTTCTACATCTGTGAAACAGAGAGGATAATAATAGTAGCTACCTTCTAGAAATGCTATAAGGAGTGCAAAAATTAATATATGTGAAGTACACAGAACAGTGCCTGCCACATACAAGTAGAAATACAAGAAATACACTTCTTGAACACTTACTGTTAAGCACCATGATAAATCCTTTTCATAAATGTTCTCATTCTCATCAGGAAAGTCCTATGAAGCCAATATTATTGTTACTCACATGTTACAAAAAAAAAGTGAGGCTCTGAGAAGTCAACTAATATGCTGATGATTACTCAGCTAACAACTAGCAGAGATGGGACTAACTTCAGTTACCTAACTTCTGACCCTGCTGACCGCACGGTTACACCATGCTGTCCGTGAAGCTGCCCCTTCAAATTGCAAGATGGAATTAGCTTAGGCAATTCTACTCTCCAGCACAGAACTGCCCCTTATGTGGGAACCCATTGCAAATATAAGATTAATCCACACATTATTGCTTTTCTCAAAGTTTAAATTAAATCATTCTCCAGGTTCCTGATCAAAGATTGAAAATCGCCAACATTGTAAGTCAAGAAATATCTTTTCTAAACGATGAAGACACAAACTCCATTACCCAGCACCTAACTGCCTTACAACTCTTACCCTTAGGATCATACCTCAGTTATTTAAATTTCAAATCTTTCTTTTCTTCCTTAAAGTGATTCGAATAACTGAACCAATTTAAAGGATTCGATGACAGTAAATTACCTTGAGGCCAGCAAAGTAACAGGCCATGACACCTTTTTCTCTTTACCTAAGAGTTTCAATTTTTAAAGGTAATTTCATGCCCGTAAAGAAATTTCATGCCCCTAAAGAAATCTTGGATTAACTCCTATGCCCACTGGGCTGTTTTAGCAGCTATGTTAATAATTTTCATTTATATTAAAATTTCACATTTATTGAAGTGCATTAAGAAACAAAAATACAGTAAAACAAATATAGCCATTGGATATAATTCCAAAGGTAGAAGCCAAACTTTAAATATGATTGAACGTCAAGCAATGGCCAAGGAAAAGGTTTGCTTTGCTTGAATTGGCCCCGGGGGGGCGTTGGGGGTTGGGGTTTGGGTTGCTTTCCCGGTTTTTCGGAGGCAATGGTATCTGTTAGACAACAGCGCTGGCTGATTTGGGTTTGTGTGAATCCTGTCGTCCCTGCGCTACACTGGCTCACATAATGCCCTCAACTTTCCATTTCTTCATCTGAAATTCTGGAATGCTCTGGGCATCAGACAAAATATGGCATTGAAACAACTGTACCCTACTTAAAAGAAAATAGATTTGGAATCCTGAGTTAATTTGGTTCTGCCATTTTACTCAAAAAGTCAAAAACTAGTTCTTGACTGATGTTGACTGTATACAAGGCACTGTGGTAAGTATTGAGAATCAGATAATAATAATAATAGCTAATATTCTGGGCCATCAACATCGTGCCCAACACTTTTATTTCATTCAGTGTTCCCTGCACTCTTACTATCCTCATTTTACAGATGAGAAGACTGAAACTCAGACGTCAATAACTTCCCAAGGCAAATTCCCAGATTCTGACCCCAAATCGCAACTGCACGGCCAGGGCTGGGAGCTGCTGTGCTGTGCTGTGTTCCTCCATCTCACCAACACGAGTACTATGGCCCCTGACCTTGAGGAGCTCAGTGTATTGGGAGAGAAAGAGCCAGGAAGAGGTTAGCTAAGGCGCATGTGACACATACTACTGTCCGCACGTGCTGTCCTCAAAGTGAGAACAGTGTGTCTGGGAATCACGCAAGTCGGAAGCGATGAACTCTGTACAGCCATGTCTGGGAAGGCTTCACGGAGGAGATGATATTTTTGCTGCATTTTGAAAGTTGACATTCTCCTTGTCACCCTACATCCCTCAATTTAAAAAAAAAAAAGAGAGAGAGAGGGAGAGAGAGCAAAAAAGGGCATTCTACGCAGAGAGCACAGCGCGTGCGGCTACGCAGACAGCAGGAAGGAGGAGGCTGAGGGTGAAGGCGTCTGAGCGGGGGGTGAGCCCGGAGGGGCACCTGGGCAGCTCAGAGAGAGCCCTGTGGGTCATGGAAGGAGCCGGACTCGAGCCTAGAGTCCGAAGCGGACCACTGAAGGGTTTTAATGTGGCTGTGAAGGGCTCAGATTGGGTGCTTCGTGGATGGAAACTGGCGCAGCGTGGAAAATGAGCTGCTGCAGGGAGAGGCAGCGGTAGCAAGGCCAGGGAGACAGTCACGATGGCCCAGATTGGAGACCAGGAGAAACTCCTTTGAGGAAGTCTCAGGGACACTGGGGACGAGAAGCTGGACTCCACCCATTTGGATCTGATTTGTATTAAATGCGCTCAATAAATGCACATTAAAAGGCATAATAATGGAAGAAAAGGCGCAAGAAAGGGAGAGTGTTGATCCCCTCCTGGATCCCTGGGTTCTCCCTTCTTCCCCCATCAGTCTCATCCCTCCACACCTCTCTTGCAGACTGGACACCCCCATGGCACAACCGAGTTCAGATCTCCTCTGCGCCACTCACTCTCAAACCGGCTGTCCTAGGCATGTCCCTCCCTGCCATCTATTCCAGGATGATGCAGAGCCGTTTCAAGGACTAAATGGGGTCAGGGCCTGCCACAGTGCTTGTCCCCATCTTCCTTCCCAGGCCCTTCAACTCAGGATCCCTCCCGGCATAACTCACCGCAGTCATCCCTTAGATCTGGGCTTAGGGTGGGATTCTGTGGCGTTTTCTACCCAGTGTTCCTCAAGTCTGATCACTTTACAATAGGGGGAGAAATAAAGATCAATATTTAAGGAGTCTCTGCCGGCTCCAGATCTGCATATATATACCTAAGAAGAGAGAGTTGTTTTAAGTAGTGGTTATTAAGGGGGAAAATGAGAGGGATTGGTAGGATGAGAAAGGAGAACCAACAGGCAATTGGCGGGGGAAGAACAGATTCTGATGCTTGCAAAGCTATCCCCAGCGCCTTCGAGCACAGCGCAGCCTCTCCTCTCAGCCCCTGGAATGGAGCCACCTGCTGTACACAGCGGCTTCCTGCACCTCATCCCAGAGCCCTCTCCAAAATCATAAAAGGATAATTTCTTGGATTTAAATGAAATTATAAAAGAGTACTAATGCAAATTGAAAACAGACAAAAGTGAAAATGCCACAGAAGTCACCCCCTAACCGATCATGTCCGGCTACTTGACCAAGAGGCACAAAGCTGTTCCCTGTTGCAGACAGACCCGGGATGCCTCGTGCGAGTCCCGGCCAGGTGGACAAAGGATGACGGGCGCTGAAGTGACAGTGGGCTGAGCCCAGGCCAGTCCCCAGCTGGGCTGCCGCCAGCTAAGGGAAGTCACCATCACGCGGCCACAGTGAGAACCCGTCCCCTTCCCTCCTTTCCCCTGTGCATGGCCTCCGCCCTGAAGCTGCCCCCCTTGTCCTGTGGAATTCCCGGAGCTGGGGCCCCTCCCCAGTCTGTCCCCAGCACTTCCCTCTGCCCTCCTCCCCCGACCACACAGCCCTTGGAGACAGGATGTCCTCTTTGAGGCTTTTTTTATTTTATTTTACAAGAATATAACATGCTGAAACAGGGAAAGGGTGACTGCATACACCATCCATATCTAGGAAACCAGCTCCATTTGTCAACAATAAATAAATATTTGAACAGTGAGGAGTCCCTGACAGGCTCTGAGAGGTCCCGGGCGTTCAGAGGTAGAGTCTGGTGGAGACAGGGACAGCCGGGCTGCAGCGCCTGCCGCGCTTCTCCACGGAGGCAAACTGGACTCGCAATAATAAATAACAGCAACAGCACCGCCAACAATAACAAAAATAATATGTCGTGACAATCAGCACAAAACAATACAATATACTTAAATAGTTTTCTCCCGGAGGAGCACACAGTGCAGAGAACAGTGTTGACGACATGGGCCGTGAGGGGCTGGCCCGGGCCATTCACCTCCCCAGCTGTGGGTCGCTCCCTGGGACGCATCTGGTGATGCCCCCAGGTGACAGGCAGGTTCTGACTCCCCCCGTCCCACCCCTCCCAGCAGCCTCTCCCCCAGCTTCACTCCCAGCTTCTCCAGTCTGTCCCAGGGCCACCGTGGTCCCTGCCCCATCTCTGCCAACACCCCGGCGGTGCAGCTCCTGTCTGCAGGAAAGGAACACGGGCTCCCCTTCCATCCTGGGGCACCTCATTTTCCCTGTTCTCACACCCACAAAAAATACTGGCTCAATTTCAGTAGGACTTTCAGGAACTGCCGAGAGATCAGTTTCCTACGATTCTTTTCTCCCTCGTTCCTCGCTGCTGGGCTCCAGAGCTGGACAGCTGCTCCGGGGGCCTCCCTGCCCCCACCCCCGGCTGCTCACAGGCCCCACGTTCAAGGGCAGCGCAGAGCCCAGAGAGGCCACACCCAGCAGGAGCCCCTGGGTGGGCCTGCCTGCAGGCAGACCCCGCTGCAAACGCAGGGTCAGGGCCACCTGCGGGAGGGCACCAGGAGCAGCAATCTCACACGAGCACGATGGCCCCTCTCAAGGGCTCTCCGCACACGGGCTGGTGTCTGAGCTATGACAATCTCATCTGGGGCAAGAGTCCCATGGGCTTGCTGGCCTGGACAAGATTGCAAAGCTGGACACACAGGGTGGTAAGAGGTACAGGCTAAGGGATGCTGGGGCAGCCCTGAAGCAGGGGAGGAGGGCAGAGGGGAAAGGCTCCCCACCCTCATCCCTTCCCTGCCCAGACTGTCTGGGAATTAGGAAAACAGGATGTGACAACTGATCAACAGGTCAAACGGCTGATCTGGGTGGGTCTTCCCCCTCTCCAAGTTTCCCTTTATCCGCATGTTTCCTAAGCCACCCTGGAACATTTCCTTCCCCGGAGAGGACACGCGCTAACTCCTGCACCCCATTGTTTTCCCTGGAGAGCCCCTCACCCCCGCCGTCAGCCCTAATCCACAGAGCCCGGGAGCGGGGGACCTCCTCCTCGGGCACATGGCGTCGGGTCCCACGGTATCTGAAGGGAGGCTGGTGCTTTCCAAACAGGCTGCTGGGGCGGCATCGTCCTGCACTGTCCTCTTGCACGTGCTTTGCGGAGCCTGCCTCCCACACGGGGGCGGCCCCTCAGGGAAGGGTGACTCGACCTCTCTTCTCGCTGGCCTCCTCACGCACGGAGGCTCAGGTGTGTGAGGGCTCAGCCAGGCTGCTGCCAGACAGCGAGGCGGGGGCAGCCGAGGCTTGGGCAGCCAGGTCCCGGTACGCAGGGGACTTCAGGAAGCGTGGGTAGGAGTCCTTCTCCATTAGGGTGCGTGTTTTCCCCTGAGCCACGTCGAAGCACGCGGCTGTGGCAGCCTGCAGGTTGCTCCTCGTCAGCTCCCGGGTCTCATGGTCTATGTTCACCTGTGGGCAGAGAGCGAGCACACGGTGAGGGGGAGGAAGGTGAGTGGGGTGGGGGGTTGGTGGTGGATAAGGGAGGGCAGGCTGGCAGGTGAGGGGGGGGCATCAAGAACCTGGGGTGTCCTGAGTCCATCAGTAACTAGCTTTTCCAATCTGGGCCTGTCCCCAGTCTCATCCAATGTCTGTCCTCCACTCTCTGAGAATTAGCATGAGCATGTACTAAGAATGTTTTCACCTCTGACTTTTCGCCCCTTCCATAGCAATGCTGGTGCAAGGCACCAGCATCTCTCTCCTGGATTTGTGCCACCACCTCCTAACTGGTCTCTCTGCTACTTCTATGACCTGTGGTCTGTTCTCCACCCAGTAGCTAGAGCGCGCCTTTAAAACCCAAGTCAGGGCCAGGCACAGTGGCTCACGCCTGTAATCCTAGCATCCTGGGACGCCGAGGTGGCAGGATCGCTTGAGCTCAGGAGTTCGAGACCAGCCTGAGCAAGAGCAACACCCCATCTCTACAAAAAAAAAAAAAATTAGCCAGGCATGCTTGTTTGTTCTTATAGTCCCAGCTACTCGGGAGGCTGAGGCGGGAGAATCACTGGAACCCAGGAGAGTTTGGGGTTGCTGTGAGCTATGATGCTGTGATGACACCACTGCACATTAGCTGGGGCAACAGAGCAAGACTCTGTCCCCTCGCTCCCCCCAAAAAACAAACAAAATAGGTAGCACCTCTATTGTCTTCTCAGAGGAGAAGCCAATGTGCATGCTGGGCCCACACCCGGCCTTCTGTCATCTGTCTGACCTCACCTCCTGCTCTCACTCTGTTCCACAGGGGCCCACTTGCTGTCCTTTGACTATGACAGCCACGCTCTGGCCTTTGCACTTGCTATTTCCTGTGTTAGAATGTTCTTCCCTCCTTAATTCTTTCATATCTCTGCTCCATGTCACTGTATCCAATAGCCCACTCCTGACTTCTCTTTATAAAATGGGAAGACCTCGTCTCCTCCCCAGCCACACCTCTGGTACTCCTTATCTCTCATTTCCTGCTTTATTTTGATCAGATCATCACCAGGCATGCATTTGTTTAATGGGCTATGGGCATCTTCTCCCGTTAGAGTATACAAGTTCCATTAGGGCAGGGACTTTGTTTTGTTCACTGCTATATCCCGAGGGACTATAACTGTGCCTTGAACGTAACTGGTGCTCGATATATTTTTATGGAATAAGGTGGGATAAATAACAATGGTCAGGAAACAAAATACAAAAGTACAAAAGCAAGTCATTACTTTCCTCTCTCCACCAGGTGGCGCCGTGCTTATCAAATGCCGCTGGCGTGCAGAGGCAGCGGGAGGAAAAGCTGACTTGCTAAAGCGTTCCCTGACACAGACCTGCAGGCCTGCAGCAGGTAAGCCAGGGGACCCAGCCAGGTTACATAACGTCCCCATGATGACCTTGTCTACCCAGCTGGCAAGTGGGCTGAACTTCTAAAAAGCTTTACAAAGGTGGGTATGGACAGAAGCCCCCAATCCTGTCAACCTATCTCTCGCCCCGTAGTGAGTCTGAGGGTAACAGAACCCAGGAGTGGCACAGAGCCTGGCCTTCCTAGTCTCTGGCCACAGAAGCCCGCTAGCCCCTGTGCCAAATAATGCCACTCTACTTCCAACCCGGTCCTTCCCTGTTCACTCCCCACTGTTCCTGACTCTCAGCGGGGAAGGAGCAGGCAGGGTCTGGAAGACTCGTGGAACATGCTGGGCTCTCACCTCTTTAGGGGCTTCGCTGCAAATGAACTCCTCAAAGATCCGCTGAGCCCTGGAGGCCAGCTTGGTGGCCGATCGGATCTTCTTGAACTCCTCACAGGCCAGCCAGAACTCCAGGTTCTCTTCGCTGAACTCTGTCTTCAGGAAAGCGTGGAAGGCAGCCACCCCATCTGCAGTGGTGGAGAGAGGGGAGGAAACAGGTCAGACTTGGGGACAGCAGGGAATAACAGAAGAAAGGACAGCTATTGCAGTTAATGGCTCTATTTTTAGAACATCATTTTCTTGCACGAGGACCGGCCTTTGTATTCTAATAGAGGCTGGCACAGCAGGGGATCATTATTGTTACCACTATACTATTATTTGCTCATGCTTTCAGCATCCCTGGCTGGCTGCAAAGCACATGAGTACACACGTGCCACCCACAGACAGACACAACAGGCTCCTACTCACTTTTACTGCTCAGCAGCAGGTCGAACGACTCTTTCCACCCCAGCACATCTTCTGAAAAATTTCTACTAAAAAAAGAAGAAGAAAGAAAAAAAGTAAGCCAAGATTTTACAATTAAAAAAAAAATCAACAAACCAAAGCATAGCACGAATCCTAGCCAGAACCCTGAAGCTGCGTAATTCACACAAAGGCTTGCTTGGTAATTTCTGAAGCTGACTCCTCAAACTCTTCGTTGGGGTTAGAGTCAGCAGTGGTGTTTTCTAGAACAGTGGTCCCCAAGCTTTTTGGCATCAGGGACCAGTTTCATGGAAGACAATTTTTCCATGGACTGTGGGGTGGGGGGTGCGGAACACAGGTGGTGATGTGCAGCCGTGGCCCAAGGGTTGGAGACCGTAGTTCTAGAAGACAATTCAGCAACCAGAAACTGAAGCCTAGGACCCTTTAGTGCTCAGTCAATATCTCTAAAGCTGTCTCTTCTCTGTCCAAAAATTGCTTCTATTCCCTTGACTCTCAGAACTTTGTTCTGTATACCTCCCTAAGGAAATACGAGCCTCATAAATAGATATTATACCTACCCATAAGCCCAGAGCCTGGCCCCCCTTTGTGCTCAAGATGAAAGGGCTTCTAGGCAGGGGGTATGCTAATGGAAGTGGAGTCATTAATAAAACTTCGAATCTTGGACCCTGTCCTACCCCTGGATGCCTTTGCAATGACATCTCCAGATGGGACTCTGGTAACTAGACGTTCATGTCCCGTGTGCCATCATCTGCTGGTGAACTTAGAGCCCTGGAGCCACCTACCCACTCACCCATGAACCAAGCAGCCACAGCAGACCAGCAACGCGTCCCACTAAAACCTCCAGGAAGGGGTCGCCAAGGTCCGCCTAGCATGCTTTATTTTCTCCTTGTATTTTCCTTCTCATGACTCCTTTCCTAGATCTGGCTCACTCCCCTTTAGAAGCCCTGGGCTGGTCGGCAGAACTTACCCGGCTTTGCTGTGTTTGCTGCCCCACTCGAACTTGCCAACACTCCCAGTATCAGAGCCCACCTCTGATTTGTGGAGAAAGATGCCCAGGCGTGTCTTGAACTCTTTGGCTCTGAAAGACAAATCATGAGCATGAAGGGACTCTCTGTTTACTCAGCAGTGCCAGTGTGCAGAAGTCTATGGGGTCCCAGGAGAGCTCTGGCTGGGACCACCCCAACTTCCCAAGGCCCAAACCCTGCTTCTCTCACTAGTATCATCAACCCCCAAGCAACAAAAGCAATTTTTGAGCTGTGCCTTGGTAGATCTTACACTTCCTGAGTTTTCGGCACCATGTAGATAGGCGTTTTCCTACTTAAGTCACACAGGTGTGTCTTTGTGCCTGTTGAATTAGCAGAGGGCAGACTATCATCCTCTAGCCTTGTCAGGAGTATTTCTGGAACTGTGTGGAAACTGAGTCCTGCTTCATTTTTACCTTCTCATCCCCAGCCACCAGCTCCAGTAAGGACTGGAAGCTCTTCCCCTTGGGAAGTGGGTACACCCTCACCAGTGGGACCCCAAAAAACATCTCCCTGCCTTCCCAGGGGCAGAGGAGGCCATGCTCCTAGCTCTGGGCTGTGGAATGAAAGCCGAGTGCTTAAGAAACAGACACACTCAGTTCTGCCTGGAGATGCCAACCTGGTCTTCCTGCGGCCAGGTCTTCAGCAGGGCACTGAGAAAGACGTCAGTTTGTCAGAGGATGGGGACAGCAGCAAGATGCCGGCCCCCTGCTTCCCTTCTCTTTGCCCCAGGTATCTGAGCACGGGGCACCCAGTTGGCCTCTTACTTCTCCACTCAAGTCTCTAGCGCCCCATCCCCCTGCCCACTCTGGCTCCCAAACCGCCAGCCGCACTGTCTAAGAGTTGGTGGGACTTGGACTCTTTCTCCGGGCAGCGGGACAAGCTGCTCTTACCTCTCCAGGCAGGTGGTGGGGAAGGCGGCCAGCGTGCGGCACATGGCTGCGGGCGCCGGGCAGCACGTCGTGGGGAGGATGGTGGCGGGCTCCGGTGGGCTGAGCGCTAGGAAGCGAGGAGCGGCAGCAGGCGGGGAGCTCGGAGACCGCGACACGGTTTGCAAGGCTGCACGCGCCGAGCCGGCGCTGCGGCGGCTTTTATCCCCTCGGAGGGGGCGGGGCGGGCCGTCGCCGCTGACCAATCGGAGGGCGGAGGCGGGGCCCGGAGCCCGACGGGGCGGGGCGAGACGCTCCCGGCTGGGGCCCGAGCCCCGCGGGGCTGCCCCCTCCCCCGGCTTGGGGACGCAGAAGCGACAGAGAAGTGGCTCCGAGACAGGACGTGCACACCCAGTTTAGTAGGAAAAAATCCCCGCCGACCTCGAGCAAAAGCAGGAAACCGACACAGCGGTGTCAGGAGGGTTTGCGCGGGGGCGGTGGGCCTGGGAGGCTCACGGGGTGTCAGTCACAGGGAAATCTGAGCCTGGTGGGTGGCGAAGGACAGGAGCACAGGGTGCAACTCGGCGAAACGGCGTCATGATTACTGACAACTGCCGTTTACGGTGCTCCTACCCCGGTGTACACAGGGCTGAGTAAGCTCTTCAGCATCCTCTTCATCATTTTATAGTTGAGGGAAACTGAGAATCAGAAAGCTGAAGAGACTTGCACAAGATCAGAGCTGGAAATAGCAGACATGGGGAGAAGGTGACGATTTTATTGAGCACCTATTGTGTGCCGGGTGCATAACCTAAGCCTCAGGTAAATCAATTGCTTAAATATATCCAATCAGTAAGTGTTGGTGCCAGAATTCAAATATCAATATACCATGCTTTTTTCCACCGCCAAAAAAAAAAAAAAAAGTTAGAATCCCTCCATCTCTGTAGCTGGCGAATGATCCTGGGTTTAAGCAGGTGCTAGCTCAAGGTCGCCAGCTCTGAGATGAAGGTTATAAATACTCTGCCTCCCTCCTCACCTTCCCACAGAGGCTCCCCCAGCACCCCCTGGGACTGCTAATAAGAGGTGCATGTGAGGTTAAGAGCACAGGGTCTGGAGCTAGATTCTCAGGTTTGAAGTCATGGCTCTGCCAGTTACTGATGGGAGACCGTGGCAAACCTCTTACCCTTTCCATGCCTCAATTTCCTGGTCTCTAGGAAGAGAACACTGATTCACTTTTTTCATAATGTCGTTGTGAGGATTAAGTAAGTAAATGCTCAGTTTAAGTTCCCCAGGAAACAGATTCTGAGGCAGAGACTTGCATGCAGGGAGAGTTCTTGGAACTGGGAGGGAGGGAAAGCAATCAGGCTTGGGCACAGGGAGGAGCTGAAGGTTGTGCCATTTCAACAGAGACCCAGCCGGCCCCAGAGGATGGATGCTCTGGGGCACAGCTGGCCTTTCAGAGCCGCCTCCCTTTGAAGCATGGAGACCGGCCTTAGTGCTGAAGCAGCTGCCCCCAAAAGATGGCCTAACCTTAAGCCGGGCAGCTCCCTTTGTCAAGAGTGACTCCTGGAGAGAGCCTATAGCAGACAACACGCTGGGAGATGACAGCCGCAGTCCCAAAGAGGGGATCTGCAGGGCATGCCACAGCATCCGCGATGACATGTAAAGTGAGAACAGTGCTCAACACATAATCAGCAGCCAGTAAATGTTAGCTTCTCGTTCTAATTAATGGGGATCCTGGCATTACTAGACAATAAAGAAAAACAGGCTGGGCAGGGAGGCTCACACCTGTAATCCTGGCACTCTGGGAGGCTGAGGCGGGAGGATCGCTTGAGGTCAGGAGTTCGAGACCAGCCTGAGTAAGAGCGAGACCCCGTCGCTACTAAAAATAGAAAAAAAAAATTAGCCAGTCAATTAAAAATAGTAACAAAAAATTAGCCTGGGGTGGTGGCTTGTGCCTGTAGTCCCAGCTACTCGGGAGGCTGAGGCAGAAGGATCGCTTGAGCCCAGGAGTTTGAGGTTGCTGTGAGCTTAGCGATCAACGACACTCTAGCCTGGGCAACAGAGGAAAAAAAGAAAGAAGAAGAAGAAGAAAGAAGAAAGAAAGAAGAGAGAAGAGAGAAAGAGAGAAGAGAGAAGAGAAGAGAAAAGAGAGAAAGAGAGAAAGAGAGAAGAGAGAAAGAAGAAAAAGAGAGAGAGAGAGAGAGAAAGAGAAGAAGAGAAAAAGAAGAAAGGAAAGGAAAGGAAAGGAAAGGAAAGGAAAGGAAAGGAAAGGAAAGGAAAGGAAAGGGATTTTTCTGCCTCATTTGGAATGCAGTATAGGTTTTTATTTTATAAGGGGCGTTTCTAAGAGTCACTACTCCTCAGGACATCCTGCTCTATGTTCCTGGAAGTCAAAGGTCTGAAAAGAAAGAAGCGAAGGGACGAGAAGAGGTTCCCCACCTGACAGCTCAGTGGGAAGGCTGAGTAAAGGCGACAGGGGAGGAAAGGAAAAAACCACAATGGGGGAAGAGGAGGAGGGAGGCCTGTGAGATGGTGGGGGAGGCTGCTGGAGCAACAGGGAACAAAATCAGAACACTGTGTGGGACCATTTGTCACAGCAGAGTCCCTCACTGAGCCGGGGCCTGCAGGAGCTGACCTAGTTAGTCAAAGCCTAAGCGCCCTGAAGAGCAGAGCTGCACCCTTGCCGGCCCTCCGGGCTGGTTGGCGGCAAGCAAGCCGGTGTGGCAGCCGCTCCTCCCATTGCGGTGCCATCGCCACACCAGCAGCCCACCCTTGCCCTGTCTTGCCCGCCTGGCTTCCTGTCCTTCTTTCTCCCGAGCACAGGGCTGCGCTGGTGTGGGGCAGGGGTTGGTGGCAGGCAAAGGTTCGAGTGGGGCCGTGGTGTGCAGCCAGGCAATGGAAGGGTGTCTTTGTGAACATCTGAGTTTCTCAGCACAGTCCCCGTCCACATGACAAAGCAGCCCGCCCCAGCCCCAAGGGAGGGGGGACATTCTGCTGGAGGCGTTGGTCAGGCCAGGTGAGGGTTGTTGTTTCGCCTGTGTGACTCGTAGTCCAAGGCACACTTTTACTATGCAGCTGCCAGGTGGGGCGTGGGCGTCGTGTGAGAGACAGCTGTTCTGCATGTGGCAGTCTCACCCTCGCCACAGTAACACTGTGCGTTTGCATCAGTCCGGGTGCCGGTCACATGAAAACGCTAATAGTAATTATGCAGAGACTCTCCTCAAACCTTCCCATCCCCGCAGCCCTGTGAACAAGCCAGAGGAGGCTTTAAATTTCCACTTTGCAAACATACAACAAAACATCAATGCCTGAGGCTCCCTTCGTTAAGTGCACTGGAATTGAAAACAGCTGGACACGGAGCCCTGTCTCCTGATTCCCGAGCCGGTACTTTCTCCTGGTCGACAAAGAAAGCAAAAGAGACAAAGGGATGGATGCACAGTTCGGTGTGCAGAAGGGCAAATCTGAGAGCACAAAGCTCCCTGCTCAAGATGAAGCGCCCTCTCCCAGTCCAACCTGCCTCTCCGTCACCATGGTTACCTCTTCAGTTTCCAGGCAGAAACTTTTTGAAGTTCATGATTTATCCCAAATTCTCTTCCCAGCAGGTCGGTTCATCTCTGCAATTTCAGTAATGCGGGATGACGCGCCAGTTGCTGTAAATCCAGCAGGTTGAGCTCACTTGTGAATCGCGCCGGCTCTCACAAAACCTGACCTCATTTTCCCCAGCGCTCCCCGTGCAGCTGCGATCTCGCTAATGGACGGCGGGTGGGGACACGGCTCTGCGCCCTGGGTCATCTGGGGTCAGCAATATGGGCTAAGTTGCGGTCGGCATGAGATGTCCCCTGTGCCCGGCCACGTTGCCTTTCATCGCCCTCAGCCCGCCGACCCCCGGCACCACCCCCTCCAGGGAGGCAGAAGTCCAGACCCGGACCGGATCTCTGTCTAGTGAAGATGGTTAGGGGAAGTGAAAACGCCACTTTGGTGGCTCATTCAGCTCAGATGATCCCCAGAGTAGTGTGGCTCCTTCAAATTCAAACATCAATCTCCCAGTAAATATTTCTTAAGAATTTACTATATTCCCAAGTTGAAGGGGAAACAACAACTTTTAAGGCTCTTCCCTGACTTCAAGGACCTTACAGTCTAGCAAGGGAACGGAACGATGTACATGGTGGGGAGGGGACAAGTGAAAGCAAACTGTTGTTTGTCGCCGGAACAGATGTTGGGGACAGAGGCTGACCAGAGAGGGTTGGCAGCATTGGGAAAGCAGTGAGAGGGTTTTAGCAGCCATGGAAGCCGGTGGGGGTTGGATGCAGGACAGGTAGGAAGGAGCATGCGTGATTTCCTCTCTTCTTCTCTCCCTCCCTGTCAGGCTTGGAGGATGCCACGCTTCTGTGTGGCATCTAAAGCTCTAGCCATCAAGTCTCACATCCTTTATCTCAAACCCTAAATTCCAGCCAAACTCACCAATTGGCAGGTGACCATGGGCACCATGTGGCCTTAACCTACAAACCCTGGGCATGAGATTCTCTTCGCCTGAAGGTCCCTCCCCTCCTTGTACTACTCATTTAAAAAATATTTTCCAATAAAATAATTTTATTTGTATATATTGAGATAATTTACAAATACTAAAATGCACAGATCTTAAATGTATAGTTGGATGAGCTTTGACAAATGTATACACCCATGTAATCAATACCCAGTCATGCTACATAACACTTCCGTCACTCCCTCATGCCCCTTCCTGCCAGTAACGCCCCAAAACAGAGACAACCAATAGTCTGAGCCCCAGAACCATAGATTAGTGTTGACTCTTCTTGACTTTTATCCCTATTTTTGAGACTGTGAACTAAAATATAATCTTAATGCTCCCTCCCACCCCACCCCACCCCACTGGCTGACTGAATGGACCCTTCTTGGCCAAGGAGATATCCTAAAACTAAATTGCCTGCCAGGAGGGAGGAGCTCAGACATGCCTCATCATGCCCCCATCCCTTCCTAGAGACATCCTTTATAACCCATTAACAAGCCTAAGCATATGCAAGACAAACCTGCAGGTCTTCAACTTACACAACAAATATATTTCCAGTGGCTTGTCTCTGATTAACAGCTCCTTGTCTTAAAACATTCCAAGCCTTTAGACAAAGCTTTATGTTTTCAACCAATTACAAGTCAAAGAATCTTTAAACCCACCTACAACCTGTAAGCCCCCTTTGAGATGGTCCATGTTATGGGGCCAAACCAATGTATGCCTTCCACATATTGATTTATCACCTTACCTGTAACCCGTGTCTCCCTGTAATGTATAAAACCAAACCGTAACCCACTCGTAGCCAGTCCACTTGCTCAAGGCTTCTTGGGCGTGGCTCCGGGTCATGGTCCTCAAATTTGGCTCAGACTAAATCTCTTTAAAATTATTTTACAGAGTTTGGTTTCTTTTCTGTTGACTTAGCTCAAGTACCTTTTCTTCCTTTATACCCTCCCTAATCCCCCCACCCCAACCTATCTCCAGAGTTGACTAGGCCCTTCTTTGAGCCATTCCTTGTGCCTTGTTCATTCCTCTGTTGTGCTGAAGTCACTCTTAGAATTGATTTGCAGTCTGTTTCCTCTGTGAGCTTCTAGAGGGTAAGGACCATTGCCTCGGTCATCTTTTTGTCTTCAGCCCCTAGCGCCATGCTCAGTTCAGCATATGATAACTGTTGTCTGGGTAGACAGCTCATGTTTCAACACAAATAAAAATACTAACATTTATTGAACACTTACTATGTGCCAGGCTCTGTTCTGTGTGATTTGACCTGAAGTATCTCTTTCAGTTCTCACAATTACACTCATAAGATGGGTAACATATTGTCCTCATTTTACATTTCAGTAAACCGTGGCAGGGATTGGTTAAGCAGCTTGCCTACGGCCACACAGTTATAAGAAAGTGTTGGAGCTGGGTTTTGATCTCAGATAGTCCAACCCCAGAGCCCGTGTTCCTGACCATACACCATGTCAGCTTGCGTGTATTTTCTAGAACTCAGAACTGGCTCACTAAGAGAAAATGAAGCACATCCTTGGGGAATGATGGCAGGCCATGACAACTCATCCTGTCCTCTCTGTCTCCTGTATCCTCTCCCTACCCCTCTTTACTCACTCCATTCCTCTCTCCCCATTCACATTTTCCACTTTCTGTCTTTGCCCTTAGCTGTGATGTCGTCACTGGCTCTGGAATTTTCTGCTGCTTCACTTCCCAGTCCCTTGCGTGTGCAGTTCCCCAGGGGGGCTGCGGAGAGCCCCTTTCTCTGCTAAAGTTCCTTGGTTGACATCTGGCTCTTATTTCTCTTTGGAGGAAAATTCAGAGTTCAGCTGTGTTCCCCTGCTACCCTCCCCAGCCCATGCCTTCCCATCCCCCTGTGCTCATGGAAGTCCAGGCCCCCACCTGGCAGGGAGCCCAGGGGCAGCTAAGGAAGCCAGCCCTGCAGCTCACAAAGTCTCCGGGATGTGTTGGGCCTTGAAGACCTTTGGTCCTCCCCATCCTCCTGGGACCCTGACTGCTGGTGGATGGAGCCTGGCTCTCTGCTGTTTTTGCTTTCTTGGTCCTCACAGGCTGGCTTGGCCCAGAGCTTGGCGTTTTGTGGCCAGATACATGTGGGTTTGTCTGCCTGGCTGTAACGTCTGCTTCACCCCACCCCACCCCAACTGTCCACCTGCCACGCACCAGGCTCCTGAACTCTCCCTGATTGCTATTGCCCAGGTTCCTCAGTCTCCCCTGTGCTTGCCCACCCTGTGCCACCTCCACCCTCACCTGCGGACACACCTGCTCACCACCTGCCATTGGTGCCTTCCCTAGAGTACCAACTAAATCATTGGCAGTACACGGGCCCATCTCATCTTAACCCTGCCTTTTCCAAAGTGAGAGAATTACTCAAGAATCCTGTATTCCTAGACATCTTCCTCTTTCTCACGGTACCTCCCCACCCCCTACTTCACCTTTGTCACGAATGTCATTTTCCTAAGAGCATGTCACTTTCATTCACTAAGACTTAGAAACAAGGTTTATCAAATTCTGGGCTTTTCTTATTTAATCATTTTCCAGGGCCCTGAGAGGCCAGTCAGAATACAAGAGAAGAGGGAGAAAAAATTGAGTCCTGGGATTTGCAAATAACTCAGAGGAAATGTTCATATTTCCAACGCCCGATTCCTCTGCAGACTGGGGAGCCAGCACTTTTTGATTTCAGGACTGGAAAGTCAGGCAGGTGCTGCACCCTGGATTGTGCCTCTGTCTCCAGGGAGAAAACAGGCGCTGGGGGACATCCCACAGATGCCACCCCGCCTAGGCACAAAGGAGGGATTGTGACCACTGCTCCACAGCCACGTTCCCCAGCCAGGGCGACAGCCGGTCTGACACGTGACGCTGCAGCCAGGAGAAAGCACAGTGGGCACCTCTCTGGGAAGACTCTGCAAACCACCTACCTTGGGTCAAAGGGAGAACAGGGATATAGAATAAGGGGGAAGGAAGCATTGTTTTGCTCTCAAATTGTGTGTGTGTGTGTGTGTGTGTGTGTGTGTGTGTGTGTGTGTGTGTGTGTATGCACATGTGTATGTAGTGGGAGAGAACTAAAAGACCCTCAAGAGGAAAACCTCTATGAGTAGCTGTTTAAGTCCCAGCCTGCCCACCCTCATTTCTTGGAAAACAGCAAATTAGACTGGCCCCGGTTCCAAAGGCACTCAGTTTGCTTTCCCAGCTGGGAAGCTGCCTTTAAGATGTGAGAGCTTACTTGGGTCTAAAATAGCTCCAGGGAGGCCTGGAACCCCAAATTATGGTGCCTAAAACATTGTCTGACACAGTAGGTGCTCATTAAATAAGGAATGAATGAATCCTCTCTAGATGTGCTGAGTATCCCTGGAGATTCGCTGTCAACCCTGCCTCCCCAGAATCCTCGGGCTGTAGGTATTCTCCGTCAAGCTTCAACTAGATAACTTCCTGGAAGTGGGTTCCAGAAGGGCTGGATTACGCCCTTGACACGTCCCTCCTCCTGTGGCTGGCAGCATCTCCACTGTAGAGCAAACCGGAGCGAAGTCAGGGAAGGGTCAAGCAGACATCAGTGGTCCGGAGCCCAGCTAGAGATGGAAACAAGGCACCAAGCACACATGGTCCCTGTGCCAGCTCTCAGGCACCTCTGAAGGCCTTTAGTGCAAAAACCGCACAGCACGCCTTGCCACCTTCCTCCCCTCCCCTGGTGTTCCAGAGGCATGTGCCAGGGAGACGCTGCGGCCAGCCCCAGCTCTGTGTTTGGCAGTAAGAAGTCTTAAGCTGGCTTGGGCCACTAGCGCCTGGCCCTGCTCCAGGTTCTGTCTTAGGAAAAGGGGAACTCCCATTTTCAGGGCCCTCCATGATGCGACACTCGGCTGAGTGCCTTATGGGAAACGGACATTGGCTGGTAAGTCGTCTACCCACAGGGACACACCTAGTAATAGGGGTGCCAGGATTGAAACCCAGCTCTGTCTAGAAGGCCCGAACCCAGGGCTCCTCAATGCCGTGTCCCCCGGCCTCTGAGCAGCTCTCCCACTGGACCCTGGCTGCCACTTCAGGCCACTTCTCCATACTGTCCTACCCAGGGGGTTTCTAGGTGCTTCCCTAGGCACGAGACATAAAAACCCCAGGAACAGCAAGGCCAACATGTGAGCATCACACACACACACACACACACACACACACACGCACTCACGCACTCATTTATGCAGAGATGTTAGTTGCAGCCACAGAAGGGGCTTTGCCATCTCTGGGGACTTCAGGACTCGCTGTCTATGCAGCCCCTTCCCCTCCTTGGGGTCACATTCCACGAGCCCCCATGTCACTAGGTAGGCTGGGCTGTGGGGCTGGGAGGGCCCTGGCCCAGGGGCACAGAAGAAAAGCAGTTTTATAGGAAAACGAGAGGCTCAACGGGGCACCAGCGCTCGCTGTGATGCGGCCGACCAGTTGCAAGGCCACGTGCCTCTCACAGTGCGCCCGGGCACCTGCGCAGAGGGACAAACGTGGGCAGACGTGTGAGCGGCTGGGAGGCGGGGCTGGCAGGGCTGGGGCGGGGAGAGCGAGGCAAGAGAAAGCCGCGGGAACAGGTGGTCCTTTCACCAGCCACGAGGCCATCAGCCCCTGACACAGCAGCTGTCCTAGAAACGGGCCCCTGTGGACAGAGGCAAGAGCGCGGCAGGGGGTGCGTGATGTTTTGCAGAGAAAGAAAGGAGCTCTCCCTAATGGGCCCACATCTGAGGGGGGGACACGCGGTGAGCTGTGTGACTGAGCCGGGCCAGCCGCTCCTCCTCCACCAGCCGCCTCCGCCTGTGCTGCTCCAAGTGCGGCCGCAGAGGAACCTTCTGGATCCCCATCCTCAGGCTTCCCAAACCCCATGTCTGCAGTAAGAGCAACAACAGTCCCTAACAGTTAGCGAGCACTTCCTCTGTGCTCTGCACTTGTGGTTATTACAGTCCTCCTCTCACTTAATCCTCACACTAACCTCTGAAGAAGGTGCCGTGACTGTCATTTTACGGATGGGGAAACTGAGGCATAGAGAGGTTAAATTTTAAAAGGGACAGAAGGCCAGGGCTGTGATTTGATGATGGGGCATCTGACTGCTGTCCCCACAAGTTAGTGACTCATTCTGCGGATGGCCCCCAGCCCCAGCTCCCAGATTGGCAGAAAGTTCTTTACCTGTCCTGAGTTCTGAAATGCTCACATGCCCAGCTCCAATAGTACTTGTGGAATTAATGTTTACCTTCTCTTATCGTTCAATCTAGTCTTCAATTCTTGAAAGGGGTCAGAGGGAGCAGAGGAAAAGGACTTTCAGCTTCCTAGCTACCGTTTCAAGATGGGCTAGGTGCCGTCACTCTTGGCAGTTTAAATTGGCAATTTTTGATCCTGAGACGACTCTCTAAATCTCAGACATCCCTCCTCTCTAACAATGGTACTTCGACTTAGCCAGCAACTGCCAAGGCCTAGCCTGGAGTGTGGGGTTTCACACGCACGAGCTAGTTTAATGCTCAGTGGACCCTGCCACGTAGGCATGGCCACACTGGCTCTTCTCCCTCCAGCACGGCTACACCTCCTGTCTCCTGTCTGTCCCAGCAATGTAAGTGCTGCCCGGAGGTGTGCCTGGACCCTTTTCTCTTCCCTCGCTACAGTCGGCCACCACTGTCTATGCACATGGCTCCCCGAACCTGGCGCTCTGGCCCCTGCTAGAATCCCAGGCCATATTCTGCCGGCATAGTCAATGTCTTCATACTTAATTTGTCGGAAATTAGTTCAGTGCCTTCTACCAATCACATTTGACTAATTAGTGGCATCAATTAATGACATTGATACATCTATTCAGTTGCTTCTGAAAGAAATCTATAGCATCATCAATGATCCCTCACTTCCTTCCCTCCTATGTCCAATCAGTCTCCAAGTCCTATGTAATCTGACCTCTGGAATCTTCTCCCTCATCCACACAACCCCTGTTCTCACCCTCTCCCATCCTAACCTGTCTTCTGCACCTTACCCAGCCTGCCTGCTCTGACGCCAGAGGAAGGTAAAGCAGAGCATGCCACCCCTCTTTCAACGCCCCCAGCCTCTCTCACCTCCCCGAGGGTCACATTGCCACTCCTTGTCAGGACTGTCCGGCTCCCTCCCAGTCTGGTTCCAATCAGTTGCTCCCACTCCCCTTGCAGCTGCTCCCAACCCCTTGTCTTGTCACGCTCCACAGCCTTGCCCCCTAAATACTCCGTGTTGTTCACCCATCTGCTTCTGAACACATTGTTGCCACTACCTGGAATGACCGTCACCTTTTGTCCAATAAACTCCTATTCATCAGACAAGAACCAACTCAAAATTCACCTCTTTGAATGTCCTTATTCTTAGAAAATACATACAGGAATATTTAGGAGTGACTACCCCTCACCTTCTTTCGAATGATTCTGCTGTATGTCTACATATATGTGCATATACCTGTATGTCTACGTCTACTTATTTATATATCCAGAGAGACAAAGCCAATATGACAAATGCTGACAATGGTTAAACTTAGGTAATAGTCATTGTAACCATTTTTTCAGCTATTCTGGATAGCTGAAAATCTTTATAACCCCCTGACAATGTGAATTACCTCTTTTTGTTTCCCTAATATTGCGTATTTGCCAACAACCTTATCATATTTTATTGTAATTATGAATTATGTGCTTAGAAAGCACAGTAGCCGCACACAGTAGGCACTCGATGTTTGCATGATTGAACGTCCCCTGCTAAGAGACTGTATTTCAGGAGCCAACAGCCACAGGAGCAGAAAGTCACCAGAGCCACCACACGCTACCCCTGCGTGCTTTGTTCTCCATAACTCGGGTGCTCGAGAGCACAGGAAGGGCGCTGTGGGCGGAGGAAAGACAACACACGGCTATTTACTGAAGGATGATGTGGTTTAAAACTCAGGAGATCCAGCCTCTGTGCCTGGCCCTGTGATTAACTAGCTGTGTGACCCTGTGCAATCACCACCCTCTCTGTGCCTCAGCTTTCTCACTTGCAAACAGGCAGTGATAATGTTTGCCTTAACCAACAAAGGAGGGAAGGGTCTGAAGGTGCTCCGAGAAGTCTAAGATGTTATGCAAACAGTGTGGCACTATCCTTATTTTTTGTTGTTAAAATAAACAAGACTTTGCCCTGACTGCGAAGAACTCTGAGTCACTCAGTGCCAGGTGGGGGAGGGGCAGTGCTGCCTCAAAGGATGGAATTTCCACCCAAGCCTGTGGCTGGGGCCTCATTCTCTCCCACCCCCGCTTTCCCTTTCCTCTGACCAAATGACAACTGCTGGGAAACAGGCAGGACTGGGAATCTTAAAATAGCGCAGCAAATATCTGCAGCTGGCGCGCAGCCCCGGGCTGGGTTGCGCCATCGGTCAGCCTGCGCAGTGCCCTGGCGCGGCCCCCAGCCCTCTGCTCTGGAAAAGCCAAGGCCACGGAAAAAGAAACGCGCGCCTTCCAGAGAAAAGCGGCCATCCAGGAACGCGGTGTTTTGGTTGGCCGCCCCTCCCAGCCCTGTCCGGTGAGATGCTCCGCTCCGATGTGCAGCCTCCCAGAAGCGGCAGCCCTTCCTGGAAGCAGTGACAGTCCCAGTGGCCCTGGCAGGCTGGGGGGAGACGGGGAGAGGCCGCTGGGGGAAGGGGGTTCTCCATGACCCAGTGGTTTCAGAAAAGCTCCACTTCCCAGGCTCTGAGCCCCAGATCTGGGGTGCTTAAATGACAAAACGTAAGTGGCACAAAGTGCTCGTAAGGACAGCATCACGTTGAAGACTGGACCCTTAGTTCTGTGACCCGACAGACCCAAGTCACAATCTGGCAAACTTTCAGCCTGACCCTAGGGACAGGGTCCCTCCCAGAGTGTGGGAGGTTGAGGTGATGGGACAAAGATCTTAAAATCCCGACAAACAGCTGTCACTCTTATCTGAATTTCTCCTAAGCGCATTCATTCGCCAACACTGTGGGCCGGGCGCTCTTCACACACGGTAACTCGTGTACTTCTCGCAACTGAACATAGGAACGGTTCAATCCGCAGTGGTTAGGGCCATGAATCAAAGCCAGGCAGCCCGGCTCCAGCGCCGGGGGCTTACCTGTTAGTACTGCAGAGGGGGCCCTCATTTAGCGTGAGTTCTGGAAGGGAAGACAGATAATGATCAAGGTCAAATTGGTAAAATAATTGCCAATGGTGATTACCACCATAAAGGAAGAGAGTGAAAGGAGAACCACTCTCAATTGCATAGTTTGGGAAGGGGACTGATGAAGTTTCTGTTGATAAGAACAGAAATAAAGAGAAAAAAAAATCATGTAAGGAGTCTGGGGTAGCCCCAGACTTTTCGGAGAGTCCCAACGCAGACGAGAACAAAGGGAGGCTCAGCAACCAAGAAAAGCCCTCCGTGAAACCACTTCGATGAGGACCCAACAGGCGCAGGTCTGAGCGCCCTGGCTACTCCGCAACCCTCGCGGGGACTCCCCAGACACCTCGCTGGGAACCGGATGCAAGACAGCCACCGCTGACTCGAAAGTGGATTCTCCACCCCGGTTTCTTTGCATCACCACCCTCTCTGGGTGTGCCTAACTGATGACTCGGTGCTTCTGATGCGAGGTTCCCAGGCCCGGGCAGCCTGCACAGCAAGCAGCGGGTAGGCCGGTCCGTTCCCCCAGGGCTGAGCACGCAGACCTGGGCGCGGGGAGGGTGCGGGGGAGTGGGAACTGACAACCCAGCCGTTCCCCCAAACACAGCAACCCAGTTCGGCTGATGCAGCCTTTTCTCTTTCCCCCACAGGGTTTCAGCCTCTCTTCCAATAAAAATAATAGCTACTAATTCTGAGTGCCTATTATATGCAAATCTTTTACAAAAGCAAGCCTTCCTTTCTAAGCCTGACTACCCCGTTGCAAGGTAATTAATTACTCTCTCCATCTTCATATGCAGAACCTAAGGTCTAGAGAGGTTAGGGATCTTGTCCAGGCTCTCTGAACTAAGAAAGAGCAGAGCCTCAATTTGAACCGAGGTTTGTCATGCGCACTCCCTCCCAAGGGGGCGTGTCAGGAAAGCAGGCAAATTACAAGCACTGAAGGGACTCCAGCTCCTGAATCCCAGCCATGACACGCTTGGGGGGGAGGGGGGCGGTCCAGTCCATCTGGAATGACAGCCCCTCGCCCTACAGCCCCTGCAGCCCTCCGGACACCCTGACCACTGCAGCTGTCGCTCCTGGGGAAAATGAGTTCTAGAAGGCCATGTGGTTCCTTCTGTGCCAAGGCAGACCCCTCCACCCACTGCCCCTTAGCCCAGGAGGGCGCCATAAAGGCCCACTGGGGTTCCATAAAGGCACCTCTGGGTTTACACCGCGGCTGGCAGGGCTCACTTGGCACGAGCGAGCGTGTTTGGCCCCTGAAGCTGCAGGTGAGTTGCATGTTTGTGAATTCGTTCTATCCTCCTTGGCTTACACCTCCTTGGCTTAAACCGTCGTTAATCTCCATCTGCTCTCCGGCTCTCACTGGCAGACACCTCACCTTAAAGTCTCATTGCCCTCTCTCTTCCCTAGTTTTCTCAGTAAGCGAAGATCTATACGCCAAAATTCAAATATACTGGGTGCAGCGAGCTATGATCATGCCACTGCCTTCATGCCTGGGTAATAAAAAAAGACTCTGTCTCAAAAATGAAATGAAATGAAGTGAAATAAAATAAATTTAATTTAATTTAAAAAATGAACTGGGAAAGCTCACCGGAATCATTTTATAAAGTGAAAAATATTCTACTTGATGAGAAACGTCATCCTCTAAGACATGTGTATAATAACCATCATTCTGCTCTATGCCTCCATGAGACCAGTTGTTTGAATATTTAGCTCCCACATATGAGTGAGAACATGTGAGATTTGCCTTTCTGTGCTTAGCTTATTTCACTTAACATAATGTTCTCTAGTTCCATCTATGTTATTGCAAATGGCAGGATTTCGTGCTTTTTATGGCTATATAATATTCCATTGTGTATATGTGCCACAATTTCTTTATCCATTCGTCTGTTGATGGACACTTAGGTTGATTCCAAATCTTGGCTATTGTGAATAGTGCTATAGTAAGCTTGGGAGTGTAGATATCTTTTTGATAAACTGATTTTCTTTCTTTTGTATATACAACCAGCAGTAGGATTGCTGGGTCATATGATAGTTCTATTTTTAGTTGTTTGAGAAACCTCCATACTGCTCTCCATAGTGGTTGTGCAATTTACATTTCCACTGATGGTATATGAGGGTTCCCCTTTCTCCACCCTCTCCAGCATTCATTATTGCCCATCTTTTTGATAAAAGCCATTTTAACTGGGGTAAGATGATATCTCATTGTAGTTTTAATTCTCATTTCTCTGATGACTAATGATGTTGAGCATTTTTTTCATATATCTGTTGGCCATTTGTATGTCTTCTTTTGAGAAATGTCTATTCAGATTTTTGCCCATTTTAAATCAGATTATTTGGCTTTTTCCTATTGAATTGTTGGAGCTCCTTATATATTCTAGTTATTATTCTCTTGTCAGATGGGTAGTTTGCAAATATTTTCTCCCATTCTGTGGGTTGTCTCTTCCCTTTGTTGATTGTTGCCTTGGCTGTGCAGAAGTGTTTTAGCTTGATGTGGTCCCATTTGTCCAATTTTGCTTTGGTTGCCTATGCTTTGGGGAAATCATTCTTCTCAAGTGATATCTTTGTCCAGACCAATGTCTTGAAGCCTTTCCCCAATGTTTTCTTGTAGTAGTTTCATAGTTTCAGGTCTTAGATTTAAGTCTTTAATCTATTTTGGTTTGATTTAGTATATGGCAAGAGATAAGGGTATAGTTTCATTCTTCTGCATATGGATATCCAGTTTTCTCAGCAACATTTATTGGAGAGACTGTCCTTTCCCCAGTGTATGTTCTTAGCAACTTTGTCTAAGATAAGTTCACTATACATGGATGTATTTATTTTTCGGTTCTCTATTCTGTTCCATTGGTCTATGAGTCTGTTTTTATTTCAGTACCATGATGTTTTGCTTACTACAACTCTGTGGTATAATTTGAAGATAGGTTATGTGATTCCTCCAGTTTTGTTCTTTTTACTCATCAGGGTGGCTTTTGTGGTTCCATATAAATTTTAGAATTATTTTTTCTATTTCTGTGAAGAATGTCATTGGTATTTTGATGGGGATTGCATTGAATCTATAGATTACTTTGGGTAATGTGGACATTTTAACAATATTGATTCTTCTAATCCATGAGCATGGAATATATTTCCACATTTTTTTTGTATCCCTTTCAATTTCTTTCATCAATGTTTTATAGTTTTCATTGTAGAGAACTTTCACTTCTTTGGTTAAGTTTTTTCGTAGGTATTTTATTTTATTTGTAGCTGTTGTAAATGGGATTGCTTTCTTGGTATGTTTTTCAGATTGTTTGCTATTAGCATATAGAAATGCTACTGATTTTTGTGTGTTGATTTTGTATCCTGAAACTTTCCCGAATTTGTCGATTAGTTCTAAAAGTTCTTTTGTGAAGTCTTTAGGTTTCTTTAGATATGAGATCATATTGTCTGCAAATAAGGATATGCAAATAAGGATAATTTGACTTCTTCCTTTCCAATTTGAATGCTCTTTATTTCTTTCTCTTGTCTGATTGCTCTAGCTAGAACTTCCAGTACAATGTTGAATAACAGTGGTGAAAGTGGGCATCCTTGTCTTGTTTCAGATCTTAGAGGAAAGGCTTTCCATTTTTCCCCTAAAATGGGTAATTTGGTGAAAGAGAATGGAGAAAGGAGAAGAAAGGCAGAGGCAGTGAGAATAAATATGGATTTCTGAGCCTTTCAGTTACTGGTTTATTGTGGGCTACCCAGCCAACCTTTCAGGACTTGGTTTCTATCTTCAAAATATGGAGCGTGGAGTCTTTTGTATATTTCATGAGGCTGCCATGAGAATTTAATGAGGCTCTCTATTTTAGGCCCTTTGAGATAAGCACAAAATATTATTGGACTGCAGTCTGCATGCATCTATGAAGAGAGAAGCATCTCACCTCTGGGTATGATGGAGAGGTTGCTGCCCCCCCCTTCCCCCTCCCCCGCCCCCCTTGCTAAGTGCCTTCCCCTGGGCCAGGTTTCTATTTTCCCCGAAATGCCAGTGCCTGAGTCATTTCTAGCAAGGAGGATTGGTATTGCATCATTCACAGTTTCCCCCAAGGCCCAAACAACAAGACAAGCAAAACCGCTATAAGGTTGAAGATTCTGTCTCTGGCAGCTGCTGGAAATCTACACAGAATTGTTTCCCTGGCAGCAGACGGCTGCTGTGTTAGGTGTGAATCAAACATGTAAACCTCTGGAGATTTGTCTTTTGCTTCTCTGAGACACAACTTAGCAGGATTGCTGAAAATACGGTGACACATTGCCTCAGCACTGGGGCTCACAGGGATGGAGGAGGGGAGGGAGGGCTGCTTCTCACCAGTGCTGGAGAGAGTCCAGTCCTTTCCAGCGTCCCCCCGAGTGCCTCCCTGCCCTGACTCCATCTCTTTCTTCCACCCTGCCTTTCTAGAACTATCAAGCAACACCTGTCCTAGACACCTGTTTGGGACTGGGATTACAACTCCAGGGCACTAGAGCCCTGCATAGAGACTCCTGGGCAGGGATTGGGCAGGAAGTGAGCTCAGCTCCCCCATCTCTCACATGATTGAGTTAGGAACACAGTCCATGTGTGTTTGCCTGTGCACATGTGCACACACGTGTGATTCTTAAACTGAAGGACTGAAATTTTCTCTAGAAATGTTAACAGTTTCAGCTGCATTTATTTCACTTTCCTGTTGGAGGGTTGGTGATTCTCTGACGATGTATGACTTATGATGATGCAGGGTAGAAACATTATTTAGCCTCCTCTGATGCCGGATGCAGGCTAGATCCAGAATATAGAGGCTGAGGGCAGCCAGGAAGCCTAAAAAGTCTATTCAGAACTCCTGCATTCGGAGCCTAGGAATTTGTCTTATGTCATTATTATTTGGACCACGTGGCATTAGATTATATGCAAATATGCACATGCTAGTTATGAGCCCTAGTCCACAAACTACTATTTTCTTTATTTCCTATAACTTAACCTGATTTCTCAATCAGAGCATTCTGCAGACCGGA